CATCAACTACAACCATATAACCTGCCCTGGAATCCCCAGAGAAACAAGCATCAACTACAACCATATAACCTGCCCTGGAATCCCCAGAGAAACAAGCATCAACTACAACCATATAACCTGCCCTGGAATCCCCAGAGAAACAAGCATCAACTACAACCATATAACCTGCCCTGGAATCCCCACAGAGAAACAAGCATCAACTACAACCATATAACCTGCCCTGGAATCCCCAGAGAAACAAGCATCAACTACAACCATATAATCTGCCCTGGAATCCCAACAGAGAAACGAGCATCAACGACAACCATATAACCTGCCCTGGAATCCCCAGAGAAACAAGCATCAACTACAACCATATAATCTGCCCTGGAATCCCCACAGAGAAACAAGCATTAACTACAACCATATAACCTGCCCTGGAATCCCCAGAGAAACAAGCATCAACTACAACCATATAACCTGCCCTGGAATCCCCACAGAGAAACAAGCATCAACTACAACCATATAACCTGCCCTGGAATCCCAACAGAGAAACAAGCATCAACTACAACCATATAACCTGCCCTGGAATCCCCACAGAGAAACAAGCATCAACTACAACCATATAACCTGCCCTGGAATCCCCACAGAGAAACAAGCATCAACTACAACCATATAACCTGCCCCAGAATCCCCACAGAGAAACAAGCATCAACTACAACCATATAACCTGCCCTGGAATCCCCACAGAGAAACAAGCATCAACTACAACCATATAACCTGCCCTGGAATCCCCACAGAGAAACAAGCATCAACTACAACCATATAACCTGCCCTGGAATCCCAACAGAGAAACAAGCATCAACTACAACCATATAACCTGCCCTGGAATCCCCAGAGAAACAAGCATCAACTACAACCATATAACCTGCCCTGGAATCCCCACAGAGAAACAAGCATCAACTACAACCATATAACCTGCCCTGGAATCCCCACAGAGAAACAAGCATCAACTACAACCATATAACCTGCCCTGGAATCCCCACAGAGAAACAAGCATCAACTACAACCATATAACCTGCCCTGGAATTCCCACAGAGAAACAAGCATCAACTACAACCATATAACCTGCCCTGGAATCCCCACAGAGAAACAAGCATCAACTACAACCATATAACCTGCCCTGGAATTCCCACAGAGAAACAAGCATCAACTACAACCATATAACCTGCCCTGGAATCCCCACAGAGAAACAAGCATCAACTACAACCATATAACCTGCCCTGGAATCCCAACAGAGAAACAAGCATCAACTACAACCATATAACCTGCCCTGGAATCCCCACAGAGAAACAAGCATCAACTACAACCATATAACCTGCCCTGGAATCCCCACAGAGAAACAAGCATCAACTACAACCATATAACCTGCCCTGGAATCCCAACAGAGAAACAAGCATCAACTACAACCATATAACCTGCCCTGGAATCCCCACAGAGAAACACGCATGAGATACCTAATCTTACTCAGAAACCATACAAGAAGAAAAACAGGTGGAACCCAAAATAAAATACTGAAACATCTTCATCTTTGTTTCAGCATGGATGCAGGCCATCAGCCCATACTGCTTCAGTTACAATGCAGCCAACTAGCAGTCCTTATATTACACATTTACACTCTTGTTTCTGAATTGTATTGTATAGAATATAAACACTGCAATATGTCTGACAATATCAATGTTATCAACAGACATTAATACATTATATTTCTTTAAAGTGGGATGTACATAGTATTTCCTATGAAGATAAATTTGATGCAGTTCTGCATAAGCCTCACAAGCAAGCAAAAAGTGACACTCATTTTCTATATATCCATAGTTACATATTTTACAGATTGTTTCTTCTCTTGGCTTTTTCAATATTGACCTTGACACAGGTCAATATTGAAAAAGCCAAGAGAAATGTATAATTTATGGGAAATGCAACAGCACTGAGCTAACACTGGGCGAAACATGTTTACTGTATCATGCTTTATATAAGTCCACATAGCAAGATGTTTTAAACAATGAATAGGAGAGTGTTTTAGAACTAACTGTTAGTGAGGCATGCCAGTCTTTTTCATTTATATACATTTTAGTCATATCATAAACTCGGTTATAAAACTATCAATAGACTGTATTTGCTGTTTTTGCAATTTTCACCAAAACCTACCCTCTACAATAACCTTTTAAGTTTTGAAGCCAAATTAATTTTACCCTGGGACATGTTCAACAGCATCATAATATAACATTTTGGGGGCAAACGTAATTCTGACATACATAATTTTTTATAAATTTTATATTTAATGCAATCTTTATATGAACAAATGTAAACTGAGTATATTTGACAATCGCCACGAACAACATGGTTAGAAGTGGACAATCTTTACACCAGGAAATACTGATAATAGCATTTCTATTTCCTTCTCTGTTACTACAAAAGGCAATGCAGATCACAAATGATGAGTGTACTTAATGCACATCCTCCTGTCTGTGAGGTGACAGTAGGTACTTCATAGAGCAGTATACACATCAGTTGAAATTAATCCATATATTCAAAGATCCTGGTCAACATGTTAATGTTTTTTGTAAGAATAACAAAAATGACTAACCCTATTCTAATATGGAAAAGAATGTTTGAATAAACTTCAGTAAAATGATACAATGACATGCTTATTTCCCACATCATCATGATCACAATTTCTACACCAAGTTGACATCAGGTTGTACATTTGCATCAGATGCAAGTACTGCTTCACTTCAGGATGGGCAATATTTGCAGCCAATGAATATGTGTCATCATCTACAGCGTCTGTGTCTTTGTGACACCAATTTGTCAGTCAGTTCTGTCCTATGCGGTCATCCTGGATTACCCAGTGTATCATATCTCCATCCATCTTCTTGAGACAAGGGAGTTGACTGACTGTAAAAGTCCAGTTTCCACCCTTGCTGAATTAGGCTGTAATTATGGAGTTACATTTTGATTGGACTAACGAGATTATGCGTAGTCCAATAAAAATCGTGCAACAAACTAGACATCCAGTTTGAAAACAACGTGAATTCAGCGTGCAGATGTCTGTTGATTGCAGGATTTGCAAAGAAAGTGCATGCTGTCTCAGATACAACCACAATGTCTTGTTGCCAAATGACTTCCCTCCTTCTATCTTTGAACTCAGGAAAACATCTTTTCCAGATAGAAATTAACTCACAACAACTCTGATTTGATTAAATATATCCAGGGCATGCATGGATGAGGCTTTGAATTTGAATGGAGGTCTGTTATATGATATGCTGGTCTAATAGTAGAATGGAGACATACAGTTAACTCAAAGGGACCACTAGTTTTAGTTTGTTATAACTGTTGTTTGTTAAAAGCATATATACAGAAAATGGACGGGACCAAAAAACATTTCGCTATATCTGTCAGATTGTTATAAACGTGTTCGTTATAAACATAGTTTTCTATGGATGTGTTGAAATAGTGTCAAATCAGGAAGTAGATCAAGTCTTCTTTGGTAGTGTCAGAGGATCTGTAAGCACATTGAGTATTCTTTGGTAGTGTCAGAGGATCTGTAAGCTGATTGAGTCTTCTTTGGTAGTGTCAGAGGATCTGTAAGCTGATTGAGTCTTCTTTGGTAGTGTCAGAGGATCTGTAAGCGGATTGAGTCTTCTTTGGTAGTGTCAGAGGATCTGTAAGCTGATTGAGTCTTCTTTGGTAGTGTCAGAGGATCTGTAAGCGGATTGAGTCTTCTTTGGTAGTGTCAGAGGATCTGTAAGCAGCTTGAGTCTTCTTTGGTAGTGTCAGAGGACCTGTAAGCTGGTTGAGTCTTATTTGGTAGTGTCAGAGGATCTGTAAGCTGATCTTGTCTTCCTTGGTATTGTTTGAGGATCTGTTAGCCGATTGAGTCTTCCTTGGTAGACTTCAGCCTGTATTAGTATTGTGACCATGTCTACACAGGCAATGTCCATACAGAGTGTCTTGGTCATGTTAAATGGATGAAGCTAGCCTCAATTGTGACATGATCAAGGTTCCTTCATCAGATTGAACTAATTATTATCTACATGGTGTTCTGCAAATGTTCAATGGTAATCCATATACTGAAATCTATCTTCAGCATTAAACACATACGAGTGATATATCTGTACATGTTCAAGTGTAGCATGCAACATGTGCACATGTTTAATGTCCACCTGAAGATACAGGGAATGTTCACATAGGTCTGAGGCTCACTCTAACAGAGTCATTCCCACATAATGCCCCACAATGTACAATCAACTCCAGGTACTTCAAAGTTGAAGAGAAAAAAACAACTTTGAGATAGGTTTGAGAGTTTTTGAAGCACATGGAGAGCACGTGGAGGCCACATGGAGGCCGTATGGAGGCCAACATGATGGACAGATTCACCACCACAAGCCTTCTCTCAACAGAGATCTCGGCTATGTCATCCCATCTGCCTCATCCGAACTCATCAACCAATAGTTTCCCAACCATCCCACCAGTATTTAATCTGTTTAATTAGTTTATTGGCTTCTTGTTTCATTGACTTCCTCATCGTGTGTTCTCTGTCCATCATGTTACTGTATTTCTGTTGTTGTCAGTCAACCTCCTCATGTTCATAGCTCAGATGAATGAAAATTGTTGTTACTGTTAATCCTTCACCCACCATATATATTCTGTACCATGTTCATATATTCAGTCATGCTTGACAACAGTATAAGGATCTATACTGAAACATCACTATCACAGTGTAACGAAGAAGTTGTTATCCATCAAATATTTTCACTGTGTAAATCAATATGGGAAGGGAGGCAACTCTGACTTGTCATGCAAAGAAACAAACCAAGCTGCAAGTTCCTTTCCTTTCATCCCAGTCACTATACTTATCAAAAAACTTGTTTGTTATATTTTAAAGCCACAAAATGTTCTGAAACAATATTCCTGTAAAACAAGAAAGGAAAGTAATAATGAGAAGATGTACTCACCGATTTTCCTATCTCCTGGTGTGTTTTGAAGTTGAAGTGAGTCCTCTCAGGGGTGTTGTTGACGGAGACACCGTACTGGGGTTCCACCCAACACTCAGTCACAATCTGCAGCTCCCCGTCAGCCTCCGTTGTTTCCATCTCATCCATGTCTTCCTCGGACACACTGAAGTTAGTGAGTGAGTGGGCTTAACTCTTTCAACAGCATATTAATCATATCATGACACGTCAGCTTGAATGCCTGAAGTGATGCAGGTCTTAAGACTTCTACCACTTTGGTGAACAACCACAGGGCACCCTAACAGGCAGCTTGGTTGTGTACTCCCCAGCAGCGTCAGGTAGCTGAGAATGATAGTTTAGTTTAGTTATTATTTTATTGTTATTGTTGTTGTTGTTGTTCTTCTTCTTCTTCTTCTGGCACAGGCAAGCTGGTTAGGCTCATCATCAGCTCAGGGCCCTTGCCCCCTCTACACGCAGCCTAGACAGCGAATGGGATTTCTCCCAGGAAGCGCTGCCTAGTCAAACCCACCCAGAACTTTTCGGAGAATGTGAAGACTCCCCAACACTGCAGCATGTGTTTTAAGTGATTAGTTCATGATTGTGGGCATTGTGGGCACATGATGCTGAGACTACATACCTGTCTCTGGTGGTCTTGTTGTGAGGAGGGAAGATTATGTACTGGATCAGACAGGAGTCTGGCTGGTTGCTCGATGCATCACTTTCGTCAGCTTCCAGATCTTGAAGGTCCTACCAACAAGAAGTCACATGTTCACTTTGTCACATTAAACACACATCACCGCAATAAAGGAGATGTTTCTAGAAAGACTCAAAGCTAATATGTGGTGCTTCAATATAGGAACATACATACATAAACCGGTTCTGCTTCTTCCATGTCAATTTCAGCTGAATCAACGGCCTGAACTTGTCAACAGCCCAAACATTGCTTGTCAATATCTTACATATGGCTTGTCAATAGCCTGTTTATAGCTTGTCCATAGCCTGTATGTGGCTGGTCAATAGGTGAGGTGAGGTGAAATGGGGTTTAACGTCGCGTCCAAGATTATTGCACTTATATAGCGACGTGTATGCACGTGTATGTGTGTGTGTGGCTGCTTGTACTAGTCCTGACTGATGCCGATTTATAGTGCTAGCTCACTGAGATACCATGCCGCAGTTTAACATGAATACCCCACTCAGACAATATATACTGACTCCGAGCTGACCAGTCCTTGTTTAAGCTCCTTAATGCCGAGCGCCAGACAGGGTAACAACAAGTACCACCTTTTAACGTCTTTTGGTATGACGCGGACGGGGATCGAACCCCGGACCTTCCGCTCTCCAGGCGGACGCTCTACCATTAGACCAAAGAGGCGGTCCCGGCTGGTCAATAGTCTGTACACAGCTTGTCAATAGCCTGTATATGGCTTGTTAATAGCCTGTATATGGCGTGTTAATATGGCTTGTTAATAGCCTGTATATGGCTTCTTAATATTGCTTGTCAATAGCCTGTATATGGCTTCTTAATATTGCTTGTCAATAGCCTGTTGATAGCTTGTCCATGGACTGGTCAATAGTCTGTACACAGCTTGTCGATAGCCTGTATATGGCTTGTTAATAGCCTGTATATGGCGTGTTTATATGGCTTGTTAATAGCCTGTATATGGCTTGTTAATAAGGCTTGTCAATAGCCTGTTTATGTCTTGCATGAACACAGCTCGTCAATACAGCCATGGTTCTCAACAGTGTGACTACTTCTCACCTTCATGTCGACTTCAAGAATCATGTTGACAATGCCTGCCTTGGTCAGGGCAAAATGAAATCCCTCCTGAAGACGAATTCTATAAAAAACAAACCACTTATTACATTAACTGACCCCAAAAGATACAATGCAAACACTTGTTTCACTGACACATTATATGTATTTGAAAGGATAATGATCCAGGGTAGAATAGGTCTTCAGCAACCCATGCTTGCCCTAAAAGACGACTAAGTCAGCCTCGCTGACTTGTTTGATGCATGTCATTGTATCCCAAATACCTAGATTGATGCTCATGTTGTCAATCACTTGATTGTCTGGCCCAGACTTGATTATTTACAGACCACCACACAGCTGGAATATTTCTGAGTGCAGCGTAAAACAACAAACAAACAAACAAAACATGAATGGCTAATGCAGTGTGCAACATATCACCACAATCAGCATTAAACCCAAACACAAACTCCTTGCACTAAATTCCAAAGTGAAATGTATACTATATAAAAGTAAGTATTAACATAGGAATGGAAACAAGTACTTCCTCAAACACATAACAGACAAAAGAACTACAAACTTGCAGCACTAACTTAGCTAGAGTCATGAGCACTCGGCCAATTGCTGGCAGGCTGATGGGCGTGACAGCATTTTGACGAACGGTCCAGATCCAGCGTTGGTGGTGTAGATAGCAGGACAGAGTGTTGAACATACTGGCAGCTGACTTCATGGAGCTGGCCATCGGCGCCAGTAAGTAGAAGCTAGGGGCATCTTTGATTGGGTCTTCTAGAATGGTCATGTCAACAGGCTGACGTTCATATCTGAAATGAGGGGAAGCGGAGGTAGGTCCTAGTCAGACAGAGTGTGTTTCCGTACATATAATAGCAACACAAATTGTACCATGCCTGTTGCAAGCATTATACATATTGTTATACCTCTACTAAGAATCTTGCAATTCCATTGGTTAATCCTTACCACTTGGCCAAACAAAACATTTCAAAGTAGACCCCAAAATCATGTGACGAGTCACATGATCAGTATTGACCTGTCACATGACGAATATTGACTTGTCTGCTACAACAAGATGGCATCTGGCATACTAACATTTTCCAGTTTGCAGCTAAGTTACTGTAAACAGGCGACGGTTTAAATGGTTCGTTAACTTTAAAGTGAATTTCGGTATAGCCAAACGAATGCTTCTCTTGAAGATGTCAATATGCCAAAAAGAAGGACCGAAGGACCTAACCCCTTCAGCGGTCTGACCAGACTTTGGTCTGCGGCCTCTGTCCAGTCAGACCATCTTGGGGCAGGTCCTCGAGACCTTCTTTCTGCATATAGACCTCATCAAGAGTAATTATTTGTATATTATTTTTTTTATACAGAAACAGATAAGGGTAATAATATCTTTATCATAATATCACATCATCCATAAAATCATCAATGCTAAAGATGTAATTTCATTCAATAAAGTAGCTTAAGAAACCTTGCATGAGTGAACCGACTCATATACCATGGAGTGCCGAACATTTTGTAGCGATGTTTGTTATCATTAACACACACACATCTGGAAACATTTATCTAACATTATCAGAAATCATAAGCAATAAACATTGGGACTAGAAACTAAGCACAGCAGATTAGTCGTCTGCATTACCAAGTATTATATGAAAAATGTGTTTAAAAAATGTGATGCAACCTGGGGACAATGACATCAGTTGATTTAGTTTCCTACCGATTGTCTTTACTTCCTTACGACCTGTGAGAATAGATCTTCAGCAACCCATACTTGCAGCAAAAGATGACGCAAAGTTCGTAAGAGGCAACCAACAGGTTTGGGTGGCCAGGCTCGCTGACTTGATTGATGCATGTCATGGAATCCCAATTGCGTGGATTAATGCTCATGATGTCAATCATTTAATTGTCTGGTCCAGATGTGATTATTTACAGACTGACATCATGCAGCTGGTATATTGCTGAGTGCAGCAAATAACAAAAAAAAAACAATCTTCATTCTCAAAATAAGGGGGACAACTCTCCCTTACTTGTTCAACATCATTAAACAAAATCCTGCAGCAGTCAACAATATTCTCTATTCACTTGGTGATGATGGACTGATAAACTACAATTTTGCTGCAAATCAATATTACCTCTCTGCCGACAAAGACTGATAGAAATCTCATGGGCAGAGAGAGTGGGGATATATATGTGGTTTAAGGCAAAGTAATATGACTATTTCTCTTTTGTTAAAAAGCCCATGACCCAACCTATCCTAGAGGGAGAGTGAGTGAGTGAGTATGGTTTTACGCCGCTTTTAGCAATATTCCAGCGATATCACGGCGGGGGTCACCAGAAATGGGCTTCACACATTGTACCCATGTCGGGAATCGAACCCGGGTCTTCGGCGTGACGAGCGAACGCTTTAACCACTAGGCTACCCGACCGCCCCCTAGAGGGAGAGTGAATGTAGTTTTCTGCCGCACTCAGCTAGGAAGTTTCAACTTCATACCACATTCATTGGCCCACTTGCATGCAGCAGTGTTATAGCTATTGGGATTACAGGCACAAAAATAGCATATAGATTAGTCATACAAGCTGTCAGCCCCATAGGCCTTGTGGTTTCAGAGGATCGTAAAAATACACTTACACTTGCAAAATGATGTATGTGAAGGTCAGAAGGTTGTAGCTTGATCAAATACAAAAATATGCTCCAAACATATTTTATGTTATACCACATATCTTTTCAAAATGGCTGCCATGTTTAAAGACAGATTGGAAATTCTGTGAGCTCGGTTAAGAGACATCACCATCGAGAAACATGCAAAGTTTCAGTTTCCTAGACCTTGTCGTTTTAGAGGAGCTGTCGAACATGTAATGATGGACAACCGGACACATCAAGACACAACTTTTCAAAAGTCTTGTAGCTAAATATAGTAAAGAAGTCAGGGTTCTGAGATAGTTTGTCAGTAAGTTGTACTTGTTCGCTACAACAGTGTGCAAGAGTATGAGCAGTAGACAGGAAGACATTGGACAAGCTACCTAATGAGTATTTTCTCAGCAGGCTTTGTGAGGATGGTGCCACAGTGAATATCTGACCAGTCCCGTAGCAATGGGGGTTTCTTCACGTGGACTTTGGCAGCATCTGGCTTCTGTCTGGGAAGCTTCTTCCTCTTGTCAACATCCTGAGTTCCTCGCTGAGGGAAGCGGAGATCCTTGATGGACTTAAGGAGGCTGGAGACAACATCATTGCGCACCTGGCTGGGGGTTCCACCCAGGAAGGCAAGTCTGAGGACCATCAGTGGGGCTTTGTGTGTCACACGCAGGACGCAGAAGAAGGATGGTGGCTTGTCCTGATCCCTGTTCAAACAGCCAGGACAAATTGATACAAATATATAAAATAATATTTTTACAATAAAGAAACATTGTATGTACATACAGGGCATCTCTGGACATACGGATGAACAGGGCATCTCTGGACATACAGATAAACAGGGCATCTCTGGACATACAGAAATACTGGGCATCTCTGGACATACAGATGAACAGGGCATCTCTGGACATACAGATAAACAGGATGTCTCTTGACATACAGATAAACAGGGCATCCCTGGACATACAGATAAACAAGGCATCTCTGGACATACAGATGAACAGGGCATCTCTGGACATACAGATAAACAGGGCATCCCTGGACATACAGATAAACAAGGCATCTCTGGACATACAGATAAACAGGGCATCTCTGGACATACGGATGAACAGGGCATCTCTGGACATACAGAAATACTGGGCATCTCTGGACATACAGATGAACAGGGCATCTCTGGACATAAAGATAAACAAGGCATCTCTGGACATACAGATATACTGGGCATCTCTGGACATACAGATGAACAGGGCATCTCTGGACATAAAGATAAACAAGGCATCTCTGGACATACAGATATACTGGGCATCTCTGGACATACAGATAAACACGGCATCTCTGGACATACAGATAAACAGGATGTCTCTTGACATACAGATAAACAGGGCATATATAGACATACAGATGAACAGGGCATATCTGGACATACAGAAATACTGGGCATCTCTGGACATACAGATAAACAGGGCATCCCTGGACATACAGATAAACAGGGCATCTCTGGACATACATAAATACAGGGCATCTCTGGACATACAGAAATACAGGGCATCTCTGGACATACAGATAAACAGGGCATCTCTGGACATACAGATAAACAGGGCATCTCTGGACATACATAAATACAGGGCATCTCTGGACATACAGAAATACAGGGCATCTCTGGACATACAGATAAACAGGGCATCTCTGGACATACAGAAATACTGGGCATCTCTGGACATACAGATAAACAGGGTGTCTCTGGACATACAGAAATACAGGGCATCTCTGGACATACAGATAAACAGGGCGTCTCTGGACATACAGATAAACAGGGTGTCTCTGGACATACAGAAATACTGGGCATCTCTGGACATACAGATAAACAGGGTGTCTCTGGACATACAGAAATACTGGGCATCTCTGGACATACAGATAAACAGGGCGTCTCTGGACATACAGATAAACAGGGTGTCTCTGGACATACAGATAAACAGGGCATCTCTGGACATACAGAAAAACTGGGCATCTCTGGATATACAGGGTCCACCCACCTAAACAGGAGTTTGATGTAGGAGTGGTTCTCCATAAGGACGAAGGTGGCCCACTCTCGCAGGTGGATGTTGAGTGATGTGAGGGCCTGTCGACACTGGATCACGTTGAAGCGTCCGCTCGCGTTGGGGACGTGGAGGTATTTAGGCAGCGGCATGTCATGCTCCAACACTAAACCAATTCTGTGGGTATGCATCCATTTCTGCCTGAAAGTGTATTGACAGGTCAGCAAGGTAATCAATACATAGATGCACCTCTCAGTTATATCACTGTGGCCTGTCAGTAATGGAGCCTTCATTTGGCAGTCTCAGACGAATTCCGTGATTCCCCAATCACAGAAAGATTTGCAGAATATGTAACTTTTGAGAAACATTGAGGAATATGCCTTTATTTATCAATCAATACACTAATTTTCATTATTTTCAAGCTTTTCTATGCAATTTTGCAACCGAATGATGCCCAAACATTTAAAATGTGACTCAAACATACAAAATAGGAAAATAGGAATCCTACAGTAAAAAGAAACTTGAAATATCTAATTCTCACTTTAACACACAGAAATAGTAGACAACAGTGAAATTAGTGACATCATGGGTGTGTCGAGGAGATGATGGGTGTGTCGAGGAGATGATAGGTGTGTCAAGACGATGGGTGTGTCCAAGCAATGGTGGGTGTTTACAAGAGATCAGAGGTGTGTCCAGAAGATGATGGGTGTCCAGGAGATGATGGGTGTCCAGGAGATGATGGGTGTCCAGGAGAGTGAGTGAGTGAGTTGGGTATAACGCCACTTTTAACAGTATTCCAGTTATATCGCAGCGTGTCAGCTTAATGTGGGAGGAAAGCCCGAAGTGATGCAGGTCTCAGATGTTTACCACTTCGGTGAAACCCATGAACAGGGGTATTGTGCTGACAAACCTAGAAACATAATCTGGGCGAACTGGGATTCGAACCCACAATCATGGGTTTCTGGCGTGTCCAAGGGATGCAACTCTGCACAGCGAATCGCAGCGCCTTAGATGACTGGGCCACCTGTGCCCCCGTGTCCAGGAGATGATGGGTGTGTCAAGATGTGGGCGTGTCCAAGCAATGGTGGGTGTTTAGAAGAGATCAGTGGTGTGTCCAGGAGATGATAGGTGTGTCCAGGAGATGATGGTTGTGTCCAAGGGATGATGGGTGTGTCCAGGAGATGATGGGTGTGTCCAAGGGATGATGGGTGTGTCCAGGAGATGATGGGTGTGTCCAAGGGATGATGGGTGTGTCCAGGAGATGATGGGTGTGTCCAAGGGATGATGGGTGTGTCCAGGAGATGATGGGTGTGTCCAAGGGATGATGGGTGTGTCCAGGAGATGATGGGTGTGTCCAAGGGATGATGGGTGTGTCCAGGAGATGATGGGTGTGTGAAGAGATCAGAGGTGTTTCCAGGAGATGATGGGTGTGTCAAGGGACAGTGGGTGAAGACAAGAAATGATAGATGTGAACATGAAATCTAGTTACCAGATGTTGGTGTCCAGCAGAATCACTGGCTTCCAAAAAGATGCAAACTGAGTGAGAGCTGAATCCCTGAAACACACACGTAACAAATCTATATATATATATGCCAAACAAAGATAGTGCAGTCCTTATAACAAAAAGCTGAACATTGAGTAAAGGGGATGTGGCGGCCTAGGTCGACTTACTTTGCCTGTAGCTGAGTGTTGAGCAGGGGGGATGTGGTGGCCTAGGTCGACTTACTTTGCCTGCAGCTGAGTGTTGAGTAAGGGTGAGGTTGAGGCCTAGGTTGACTTACTTTGCCTGCAGCTGAGTGTTGAGCAAGGGGATGTGGAGGCCTAGGTCGACTTACTTTGCCTGTAGCTAAATGTTGAGCAGGGGGGATGTGGAAGCCTAGGTCGACTTACTTTGCCTGTAGCTGAGTGTTGAGTAAGGGTGAGGTTGAGGCCTAGGTTGACTTACTTTGCCTGTAGCTGAGTGTTGAGCAAGGGGATGTGGAGGCCTAGGTCGACTAACTTTGCCTGTAGCTGAGTGTTGAGCAGGGGGGATGTGGAGGCCTAGGTCGACTTACTTTGCCTGTAGCTGAGTGTTGAGCAGGGGGGATGTGGTGGCCTAGGTCGACTTACTTTGCCTGAAGCTGAGTGTTGAGCAGGGGGATGTGGCGGCCTAGGTCGACTTACTTTGCCTGTAGCTGAGTTTTGAGTAAGGGGGATGTGGAGGCCTAGGTTAACTTACTTTGCCTGTAGCTGAGTGTTGAGCAGGGGGGATGTGGAGGCCTAGGTTGACTTACTTTGCCTGTAGCTGAGTGTTGAGCAGGGGGGATGTGGAGGCCTAGGTCGACTTACTTTGCCTGTAGCTAAATGTTGAGCAGGGGGGAATGTGGAGGCCTAGGTTGACTTACTTTGCCTGTAGCTGAGTGTTGAGCAGGGGGGATGTGGAGGCCTAGGTCGACTTACTTTGCCTGTAGCTAAATGTTGAGCAGGGGGGATGTGGAGGCCTTGGTTGACTTACTTTGCCTGAAGCTGAGTGTTGAGCAGGGGGGATGTGGAGGCCTAGGTCGACTTACTTTGCCTGTAGCTCAATGTTGAGCAGGGGGGATGTGGAGGCCTAGGTTGACTTACTTTGCCTGTAGCTAAATGTTGAGCAGGGGGGATGTGGAGGCCTAGGTTGACTTACTTTGCCTGCAGCTGAGTGTTGAGCAGGGGGGATGTGGAGGCCTAGGTCGACTAACTTTGCCTGTAGCTGAGTGTTGAGCAAGGGGATGTGGAGGCCTAGGTCGACTTACTTTGCCTGTAGCTAAATGTTGAGCAGGGGGGATGTGGAGGCCTAGGTCGACTTACTTTGCCTGTAGCTAAATGTTGAGCACGGGGGATGTGGAGGCCTAGGTTGACTTCCTTTGCCTGTAGCTGAGTGTTGAGCAAGGGGATGTGGAGGCCTAGGTCGACTTACTTTGCCTGTAGCTGAGTGTTGAGCAGGGGGGAGGTGGAGGCCTAGGTCGACTTACTTTGCCTGTAGCTGAGTGTTGAGCAAGGGGATGTGGAGGCCTAGGTTGACATACTTTGCCTGTAGCTAAATGTTGAGCAGGGGGGATGTGGAAGCCTAGGTCGACTAACTTTGCCTGTAGCTAAATGTTGAGCAGGAGGGATGTGGTGGCCTAGGTTGACTAACTTTGCCTGTAGCTAAATGTTGAGCAGGGGGGATGTGGAGGCCTAGGTCGACTTACTTTGCCTGTAGCTAAATGTTGAGCAGGGGGGATGTGGAGGCCTATGTCGACTTACTTTGCCTGAAGCTGAGTGTTGAGCAAGGGGATGTGGAGGCCTAGGTTGACTTACTTTGCCTGTAGCTAAATGTTGAGCAAGGGGATGTGGTGGCCTAGGTCGACTTACTTTGCCTGTAGCTGAGTGTTGAGCAGGGGGGATGTGGAGGCCTAGGTCGACTTACTTTGCCTGTAGCTGAGTGTTGAGCAGGGGGGAGGTGGAGGCCTAGGTTGACTTACTTTGCCTGTAGCTAAATGTTGAGCAGGGGGGAGGTGGAGGCCTAGGTCGACTTACTTTGCCTGTAGCTGAGTGTTGAGCAGGGGGGATGTGGAAGCCTAGGTCGACTTACTTTGCCTGTAGCTAAATGTTGAGCAGGGGGGATGTGGAAGCCTAGGTCGACTTACTTTGCCTGAAGCTGAGTGTTGAGCAAGGGGATGTGGAGGCCTAGGTTGACTTCCTTTGCCTGTAGCTGAGTGTTGAGCAAGGGGATGTGGAGGCCTAGGTCGACTTACTTTGCCTGTAGCTGAGTGTTGAGCAGGGGGGAGGTGGAGGCCTAGGTCGACTTACTTTGCCTGTAGCTAAATGTTGAGCAGGGGGGGATGTGGAAGCCTAGGTCGACTTACTTTGCCTGTAGCTAAATGTTGAGCAGGGGGGATGTGGAGGCCTAGGTCGACTTACTTTGCCTGTAGCTGAGTGTTGAGCAGGGGGGAGGTGGAGGCCTAGGTTGACTTACTTTGCCTGTAGCTAAATGTTGAGCAGGGGTGATGTGGAGGCCTGGGTTGACATACTTTGCCTGTAGCTGAGTGTTGAGCAGGGGGGAGGTGGAGGCCTAGGTCGACTTACTTTGCCTGTAGCTGAGTGTTGAGCAGGGGGGAGGTGGAGGCCTAGGTCGACTTACTTTGCCTGCAGCTGAGTGTTGAGCAGGGGTGATGTGGAGGCCTAGGTTGACTTACTTTGCCTGCAGCTGAGTGTTGAGCAGGGGGGATGTGGAGGCCTAGGTCGACTTACTTTGCCTGCAGCTGAGTGTTGAGCAGGGGTGATGTGGAGGCCTAGGTTGACTTACTTTGCCTGTAGCTGAGTGTTGAGCAGGGGTGATGTGGAGGCCTAGGTCGACTTACTTTGCCTGTAGCTGAGTGTTGAGCAGGGGGGATGTGGAGGCCTAGGTCGACTTACTTTGCCTGCAGCTGAGTGTTGAGCAGGGGTGATGTGGAGGCCTAGGTCGACTTACTTTGCCTGTAGCTGAGTGTTGAGCAGGGGTGATGTGGAGGCCTAGGTCGACTTACTTTGCCTGCAGCTGAGTGTTGAGCAGGGGTGATGTGGAGGCCTAGGTCGACTTACTTTGCCTGTAGCTGAGTGTTGAGCAGGGGTGATGTGGAGGCTTGGTCAGCTGCCTGGTAGAACAGGGGCACCCCATTTCTGATGCTCTCCGGTACAGTGTAGTATACTGAGGTTGTTGAGAAGGACTGGAGATGGGACAACAGTTGGTCTGTCTCTCGCAACCTCAAATATTATGTGAAGAACATAAGACATAATTCTGGAAACACTCGTCCAGGTTTTTTTCACAATATGCAGAAATGCTGCTCATTAGACATCATATTCTCCCAAAATACAATATACTCCTAAAAATATTTTTGACATATCTTTATAAGCAAGTTGTAATACTATAAACACATCCATGGGACATGTTACAGGGAAGTTTGTTTTCATTATGACATATTCCAGTTGAAAGAATGTTAATAAAGTTAATTTTGGTTATCTTGTATATACAACAAAGTTAACTCCTGCATTACTCTGAATGGGGTTCAGGGCTAATACAATACAGTCAGTCATGATGACTCCAAGTTTTCATAGATTAGGAGAAGCCTGCTAGACCTAATTCTGGACCTACCTCTGCAGTATGTGCCAGAACTTCCTGATGTTGAATGTTCTGTAGGCGTTCTTGGCACTCTGTCTGGCACAGGTTATCTCGTGCAGAAACTCATACTCCCCCTCCAGGCAAATCTCAACATACGTCTGCTGCCTACCCAGCACCAACACAAACAGTATATGTCAGCCACATAGAGACACACATCATCTTAGGACACAACATGTATTCAGTGTAGGATAAAGGACTTCCGAGGGTTTTGAGATATATAAAACCGCATCCATGGGATAAAAGCTATAATAATGTTGGTTCCAATGAAACTTTTAGCATCGGTACACCTGCAAATCTGAAAACTTTATTTCTTAATCCCTAAGTCTTACTTTTTGGGGTCTAAAGGCCATGACGATACAGCGGAGTACTCGATCCGGACATAGTCACGCCATGGTAGAACCATCTTCACTTCTATCTGAGTTCCACCTGGTACAGTAGAGAACAACAGCATGGTTCATATATATGGTCGCAGGTTTCAGTGGTTATAATGTGAAGGTTCACTGTGAGGAGGAAAGCACATAGTTGTGAAGGTCTTGCATGTTTACCAACTTGGTGAAACTCATAAACACAGGGCTGGCAGACTAAGGATCATAACCAGAGGGAATCTGGGATTCAAACACATGATCAGCAGATCCTTGCACAAATATGAGACACAACTCTGCACAGTGAATTACAGTGCCTCAGGACCCAGGACCTGTTTTAGGTATAAAACTATATTGCAAACATCTTGCCACTATTTATATAATGAACTCATCAATACTTTAACTATACATGACATAAAGTTCCTTGGAGTTTGCAGTGTCACAAATGACACTACTATGCCTTTTGACTGTAACACAACTGACACCTGGTGTCCATGGAGTCACACTATACCTTTAGACTGTAACACAACTGACACCTGGTGTCTTTGGAACCACCCTTTACCTTTAGACTGTAACACAACTGACACCTGGTGTCCCTGGAGCCACCCTTTAGCTTTAGACTGTAACACAACTGACACCTGGTGTCCCTGGAGCCACCCTTTACCTTTAGACTGTAACACAACTGACACCTGGTGTCCCTGGAGTCACCCTATACCTTTAGACTGTAACACAACTGACACCTGGTGTCCATGGAGCCACCCTTTACCTTTAGACTGTAACACAACTGACACCTGGTGTCCCTGGAGTCACCCTATACCTTTAGACTGTAACACAACTGACACCTGGTGTCCATGGAGCCACCCTTTACCTTTAGACTGTAACACAACTGACACCTGGTGTCCATGGAGCCACCCTTTACCTTTAGACTGTAACACAACTGACACCTGGTGTCCCTTGAGTCACCCTATACCTTTAGACTGTAACACAACTGACACCTGGTGTCCCTGGAGTCACCCTTTACCTTTAGACTGTAACACAACTGACACCTGGTGTCCCTGGAGTCACCCTATACCTTTAGACTGTAACACAACTGACACCCGGTGTCTCTGGAGCCACCCTTTACATTTAGACTGTAACACAACTGACACCTGGTGTCTTTGGAGCCACCCTTTACTTTTAGACTGTAACACAACTGACACCTGGTGTCTTTGGAGCCACCCTTTACCTTTAGACTGTAACACAACTGGCATCTGGTGTCCCTTGAGTCACCCTATACCTTTAGACTGTAACACAACTGACACCTGGTGTCTCTGGAGCCACTCTATACCTTTAGAGTGTAACACAACTGACACCTGGTGTCCCTGGAGCCACACTATACCTTTAGACTGTAACACAACTTACACCTGGTGTCCCTGGAGTCACCTTATACCTTTAGACTGTAACACAACTGACACCTGGTGTCCCTGGAGCCACACTTTACCTTTAGACGGTAACACAACTGACACCTGGTGTCCCTGGAGCCACACTATACCTTTAGACTGTAACACAACTTACACCTGGTGTCCCTGGAGTCACCTTATACCTTTAGACTGTAACACAACTGACACCTGGTGTCCCTGGAGCCACACTTTACCTTTAGACGGTAACACAACTGACACCTGGTGTCCCTGGAGCCACACTTTACCTTTAGACGGTAACACAACTGACACCTGGTGTCCCTGGAGCCACACTTTACCTTTAGACGGTAACACAACTGACACCTGGTGTCTTTGGAGCAGTCATACCTTTTGTGATTGCAACATCCTTGATGGTGTAGCCCTCTCGAAGTCGTACAGACAGCACACTGGCTATGTTGGCCAGGACATTCTTCTCTAAATGTTTCTTCCGCAACACGTCTGCCATTGCACTTCGGCCCTCTAGTGGATGAGCATACAATTGTCTGCAAGACCAAGTATCAAAATTGACTTACATGTATAGTAGCTCGTATGAAACACTGACACTTCAGAATCAAGGTGGTTATGTTAACTTGTATTCAGAAGTCTCCTCTTATAAGTAAAACCTCCACTTAGACAAGGTTGTAGAGGTTACACTTCAACACCTGCCACCCCTATTTGAGTGAGTGAGTGAGTGAGTGAGTGAAGTGAGTGAGTGAGTGAGTGAGTGAGTGAGTGAGTGAGTGAGTGAGTGAGTGAGTGAGTGAGTGAGTGAGTGAGTGAGTGAGTGAGTGAGTGAGTGAGTGAGTGAGTGAGTGAGTGGAGTCAGTCAGTCAGGCAGTCAGTTAAAATATCTGTGCATTTGTCATTTTTTCTAAGTTTCTAAGTTGGCTAATAGCAAAGCCAGTGTTGCCTATTGTTATGAAGGAGGCAGGGGTGGCCCAGTCGTCTAAGGCGCCACAATTCACTTCGCAGAGTTGCATCCCTTGAGCACGCCAGAAACCTATGATTGTGGGTTTGATTCCCGGTTCGCCCCGATTATGTTTCTAGGTTTGTCAGCACCATACCCATGCTCGTGGGTTTCACCGCATCACTTGGGGCTTTCCTCCCACATTAAGCTGACACGCCGTGATATGACTGGAATACTGTTAAAAGTGGCGTTAAACACAACTCACTCACTCACTCACTATTGTTATGAACAACAGAAGCATGGTGATTCCAGAATGGTCTTGGTCCTCAGCAACCAGTGCTTGTCCTGAGATGTGAGTGAATGAATTGAGGTGATGAGGCTCATTGACATGGTTGTCCATATATCTGACAGCATGCATCATCATGGTAATATGTATTACTGGACTGGACTGTCAATTACAGGACATCATCATATAGCTGCGAGCGGTGAAAATAAAATATGAAGAAATGAAAATCTAACACAATCTGGTGTACAAGTTGAATTTTTTCTTACTTCTGAATACTTGCGAAGGAATCAGGGATGGTTTGGTGGGTCAGTTCATATTTAAATCCTTCAAGACCCTTCTGAAAGTTCCAAAAGTACAGAGCTCGGTGGTAGACGTTGGCTTCAAGACTGTCACACTGTTGCTGAAACCACATACGAAGAGGAAACTTTGGCTTAAATTGTGTTATAGTTTGATGTTGGACAAACTCAAAGAATCACACATGATATCATACAGACATTTGGGAAAAATAAACCAAACTTTGAACTTTGAAGTGAGCAAAACGCCCATAGAAGACTAATTGCTGAAAAGTATCAATAATATACATGGAAAGAGACGTCTATGGCACAGCAGAACTGTAGTATATAATTAGTCAAGTTTTTGGGCCAAAAAGGACATTTTCGTTAACTTCCCACTGTCATGTCAGAAATCACAATGTCAAACATCCACATGCAGCAATCTGTATTCACAGTGACAAAAAGGGTTTTTATGAACTCATTTAGAGATACTAACCAAATCCGGAAAAGAGGCAAAGTAGGCTCCGAACGTTGCCGTGGCGATGAACTGCATGAGTTCTGTGTGTGGCACATGGCCCAGCTGCTGGTGGAGGGAACAGCTGCCCACCTTCATGAAGGAACACGCCATGGTGCTATTCCTCAGCTGTGTGAGCAGAGACTCCAGGATGTTGGCGTCCGGCAGGCCCACCATTCCATCAGTGAGGATGATGATGCCTGGCAAAAGTATCCAGTGTTACCATCACATCACTACCTGATGTTACCATCTGGTAGTGTTACCATCTGGTAGTGTTTCCATCAGGTAGTGTTACGATCAGGTAGTGTTACTGTCTGGTAGTGTTTCCATCAGGTAGTGTTACCATCAGGTAGTGTTACCATCTGGTAGTGTTACCATCAGGGAGTAATACCATCCAATAGTGTTACCATCCAATAGTGTTACCATCAGGCAGTGTTACCATCTGGTAGTGTTACCATCAGGTAGTGTTACCATCAGATAGTGTTACCATCAGGTAGTGTTACCATCAGGCAGTGTTACCATCTGGTGCTGTTACCATCAGGTAGTGTTACCATCCAATAGTGTTACCATTTGGTAGTGTTACCATCAGGTAGTGTTACCATCAGGAAGTGTTACCATCAGGTAGTGTTTCCATCAGGCAGTGATACTATCAGGTAGTGTTACCATCAGGCAGTGTTACCATCAGGTAGTGTTACCATCAGGCAGTGTTACCATCTGGTGCTGTTACCATCAGGTAGTGTTACCATCCAATAGTGTTACCATCTGGTGCTGTTACCATCAGGTAGTGTTACCATCTGGTACTGTTACCATCAGAAAGTGTTACCATCAGGTAGTGTTTCCATCAGGCAGTGATACTATCAGGTAGTGTTACCATCAGGCAGTGTTAGCATCAGGTAGTGTGACCATCAGGTAGTGTTACCATCTGGTAGTGTTACCATCAGGTAGTGTTACCATCAGGTAGCGTTACCATCTGGTAGTGTTACCATCAGGTAGTGTAACCATCAGGCAGTGTTACCATCTGGTACTGTTACCATCTGGTAGTGTTACCATCAGGTAGTGTTACCTTCAGGTAGTGTTACCATCAGGCAGTGTTACCATCAGGAAGTGTTACCATCTGGTAGTGTTACCATCAGGTAGTGTTTCCATCAGGTAGTGTTACCATCAGGCAGTGTTACCATCAGGCAGTGTTACCATCAGGTAGTGTTACCATCAGGTAGTGTAACCATCTGGTAGTGTTACCATCAGGCAGTGTTACCATCAGGTAGTGTTTCCATCAGGTAGTGTTACCATCAGGTAGTGTTTCCGTCAGGTAGTGTTTCCGTCAGGTAGTGTTACCATCAGGCAGTGTTACCATCAGGCAGTGTTACCATCAGGCAGTGTTACCATCAGGTAGTGTTACCATCTGGTAGTGTTACCATCAGGTAGTGTAACCATCTGGTAGTGTTACCATCAGGCAGTGTTACCATCAGGTAGTGTTTCCATCAGGTAGTGTTACCATCAGGTAGTGTTTCCGTCAGGTAGTGTTTCCGTCAGGTAGTGTTACCATCAGGCAGTGTTACCATCAGGCAGTGTTACCATCAGGCAGTGTTACCATCAGGTAGTGTTACCATCTGGTAGTGTTGCCATCAGGTAGCGTTTCCATCAGGCAGTGTTACCATCAGGCAGTGTTACCATCTGGTAGTGTTTCCATCTGGTACTGTTACCATGAGGTAGTGTTACCATTAGGTAGTGTTACCATCTGGTAGTGTTACCATCAGGTAGTGTTACCATCAGGCAGTGTTACCATCAGGAAGTGTTACCATCAGGTAGTGTTTCCGTCAGGCAGTGTTACCATCAGGTAGTGTTACCATCAGGCAGTGTTACCATCAGGCAGTGTTACCATCAGGCAGTGTTACCATCAGGTAGTGTTACCATCTGGTAGTGTTACCATCAGGTAGCGTTTCCATCAGGCAGTGTTACCATCAGGCAGTGTTACCATCAGGTAGTGTTTCCATCTGGTACTGTTACCATGAGGTAGTGTTACCATTAGGTAGTGTTACCATCTGGTAGTGTTGCCATCAGGTAGTGTTACCATCAGGCAGTGTTACCATCAGGCAGTGTTACCATCAGGTAGTTTTACCATCAGGTAGTGTTACCATCAGGTAGTGTTTCCATCTGGTAGTGTTACCATCAGGCAGTGTTACCATCAGGTAGTGTTACCATCAGGTAGTGTTTCCATCAGGTAGTGTTACCCTTAGACAGATACACTGCCAAAACTATTTTCTTAACCTAGAAAGGACAGCCTAAAACACAAACCTTGAAACAAGAAACCCCTACGAAAACTGCTCTTAAAACACCTAAAAAGATATGTTACCACACTTAAAAATCACCTGTTAAAAAGAAAATATTTCTCATAGAAAGCAAGGGAATGTCAAAAGTAAAAATGGTGACAAGTTATCATGACAGCTTATTTACATATTTATGTAACAGAAAATTGCATCATAAATCAATTACTTTTAACTAGCAAAGTATGCTTAACAATTTGCCACAGCTCATCCGGAGTCCTTAAATTAAAAAGAGAAAAACACATACAGAGAAGTTACCGAATTACCAACAAAAGAAATAAAACCAGAAAAACAAAAGACACAGACAAAAAAGACTAAGAATGATTTGAACCTGTGATTCCATGCCCATCATTCTAAAGCAATGACATTTGCCAACCAGAGTTGTTCCCCTTAGATTTTTCATAAGTAACCTCCACTAGAGGAGCTGCAGAAAGACCAGCCAAAATGGCGTCTGCTAGCAGAAGGACACTTAGTGTATGTTATCTTTGGAAGAAAAAGATTATCAAGGTAAAACTTTTACTTCTTGCAGTTTCTGTGGCTCACCCTACCAGTCTAACATGATAGTTTTACTACAGGTCATCCAGGAGCAGCTTTCAACTTTAGGTGAGTCCTCATCTCACTGGTGGTTACTGGTATCTGGTATCAACAACATTCAGTTGTGTACTGTACTTATGTTAAACATTTTGAACTGACATGGTTGAGTTGGGTTTTTAGGCTTAGCAAGGCGGAGGGGTAAATAAATGTACATACAACCCAAATCTTGAGCACTGGCAATCTAAATAATATTAAAAAATAACACACATCATTGATGATTTAAATTATTCCCAGGTCAACAGCTTGTGCTTCAAACACAAGTAAATAATGGGAGAGAACTCTATAACGTTAGACCTGGCACTGTTTTTAGTAAAACTGTTTACTTAGTCTTCTGAATATTTTGGCAATATTCCATCTATATCCCAAAGGTGTTTTTGGACATGAAATGTATGAAGATGAGTCAATGTATTTGTTATCAAAGACACCAGGGTGAGATTCTATCTATCATCCAAAATTATCAAGGTAAAACTTTTACTTCTTGCAGTTTCTGTGGCTCACCCTACCAGTCTAACATGATAGTTTTACTACAGGTCATCCAGGAGCAGCTTTCAACTTTAGGTGAGTCCTCATCTCACTGGTGGTTACTGGTATCTGGTATCAACAACATTCAGTTGTGTACTGTACTTATGTTAAACATTTTGAACTGACATGGTTGAGTTGGGTTTTTAGGCTTAGCAAGGCGGAGGGGTAAATAAATGTACATACAACCCAAATCTTGAGCACTGGCAATCTAAATAATATTAAAAAATAACACACATCATTGATGATTTAAATTATTCCCAGGTCAACAGCTTGTGCTTCAAACACAAGTAAATAATGGGAGAGAACTCTATAATGTTAGACCTGGCACTGTTTTTAGTAAAACTGTTTACTTAGTCTTCTGAATATTTTGGCAATATTCCATCTATATCCCAAAGGTGTTTTTGGACATGAAATGTATGAAGATGAGTCAATGTATTTGTTATCAAAGACACCAGGGTGAGATTCTATCTATCATCCAAAATCATTCTTCAAACTTTTTTCAGTTTATGAACAGTAATAACCAGTGTCTTGAGTGTACAGAGGACAGCTAACCAGCTTCAGTGGCAGAGATGTCATTTGGTTGTGATGCAATGGTGGCAGAGTTGTCATTTGATTGTGATGCAATGGTAACCAGTGAGGTCTCAAGTGTCTGCAAAGCATTGAGATGCAATTTCATATCCTATCAGTTATCACTTGATCTCACCCAAGTTATATATGACCTAGGGAAGCAAGTCTTGAATGACAAACCAGTAACAGCAACAAAATACACCATGAAGGTAAGTCTGACCACCTGAGCCAGGGAGCTCATGGGGGACTGGCATCACCCCAGGAACACCAGTCTTGAAAGGTGAAAGAGCAATGGCTACCCACCAGCACTGGAGTTATCTGGCAGTAGCTGTAGTGCCAGGATTCCATATCTCAGCATGTTGATGAAGCCGGCTTCTGGGCTGCTGATCAGGTCCGACTTCCTCAGGTCAAGCTTCTCACTGTCATCTTCCAGGGCTTCTGGGTACTGCTCCAAGATCTAACAAATATTTGCACATAAAAATATATTCCTGCAGATGATAAAAGGTTAGTATTGACAAGGGACTTGAAAGTTTTGCTTTTAAACTTATGAAAACAAAAATATGTTGTTCAAGGAAAACTTCAACATGGCTTACCTGTGTCAATGACAATCCACAATGAAATCCTTGTACTTTGACACTGGCCTAACAGTGACCTTATTCTGAGGGCACTGGCCTAACGGTGACCTTGTTCTAATTGCACTGGCCTAACAGTGACCTTGTTCTGAAGGCACTGGCCTAACAGTGACCTTGTTCTGAGGGCACAGGCCTAACAGTGACCATGTTCTGAAGACACTGGAATTACAGTGACCTTGTTCTGAGGGCACTGGCTTAACAGTGACCTTGTTCTGAGTTCACTGGCCTAACAGTGACTTTGTTCTGAGGGCACTGGCCTAACAGTGACCTCATTCTGAAAACACTGGAATGACAATGGCTTTGTTCTGAAGGCACTGGCCTAACAGTGACCTTGTTCTGAGGGCACTAGAATTACAGTGACCATGTTCTGAAGACACTGGCCTAACAGTGACCTTGTTCTGAGTGCACTGGCCTAACAGTGACCTTGTTCTCAAGGTACTGGCCTAACAGTGACCTCATTCTGAAGACACTGGAATGACAGTGGCTTTGTTCTGAAGGTACTGGCCTAACACTGACCTTGTTCTGAAGGCACTGGCCTAACAGTGACCTTGTTCTGAAGACACTGGAATGACAATGGCTTTGTTCTGAAGACACTGGAATGACAATGGCTTTGTTCTGAAGGTACTGGAATGACAATGGCTTTGTTCTGAAGGTACTGGCCTAACAGTGACCTCATTCTGAAGACACTGGAATGACAATGTCTTTGTTCTGAAGACACTGGAATTACAATGACCTTGTTCTGAAGGTACTGGCCTAACAGTGACCTTGTTCTGAAGACACTGGAATGACAATGGCTTTGTTCTGAAGACACTGGAATGACAATGGCTTTGTTCTGAAGACACTGGAATGACAATGGCCTTGTTCTGAAGGTATTGGCCTAACAGTGACCTCATTCTAAAGACACTGGAATGACAATGGCTTTGTTCTGAAGGTACTGGCCTAACAGTGACCTTGTTCTGAAGAAACTGGAATGACAGTGGCTTTGTTCTGAAGGTACTGGCCTAACAGTGACCTTGTTCTGAAGGCACTGGAATGACAGTGACCTTGTTCTGAAGACAATAGAATTACAATGACCTTGTTTAGGATACACTGGCCTAACAGTGAACATGTTCTGAAGACACTGGAATTACAATGACCTTGTTCTGAAGGCACTGGCCTAACAGTGACCTTGTTCTGAAGGCACTGGCCTAACAATGAACATGTTCTGAAGACACTGGAATTACAATGACCTTGTTCTGAAGGCACTGGCCTAACAGTGACCTTGTTCTGAAGGTACTGGCCTAACAGTGACCTTGTTCTGAAGGCACTGGCCTAACAATGAACATGTTCTGAAGACACTGGAATGACAATGGCTTTGTTCTGAAGGTACTGGCCTAACAGTGACCTCATTCTGAAGACACTGGAATGACAGTGGCTTTGTTCTGAAGGTACTGGCCTAACACTGACCTTGTTCTGAAGGCACTGGCCTAACAGTGACCTTGTTCTGAAGACACTGGAATGACAATGGCTTTGTTCTGAAGACACTGGAATGACAATGGCTTTGTTCTGAAGGTACTGGAATGACAATGGCTTTGTTCTGAAGGTACTGGCCTAACAGTGACCTCATTCTGAAGACACTGGAATGACAATGTCTTTGTTCTGAAGACACTGGAATTACAATGACCTTGTTCTGAAGGTACTGGCCTAACAGTGACCTTGTTCTGAAGACACTGGAATGACAATGGCTTTGTTCTGAAGACACTGGAATGACAATGGCTTTGTTCTGAAGACACTGGAATGACAATGGCCTTGTTCTGAAGGTATTGGCCTAACAGTGACCTCATTCTAAAGACACTGGAATGACAATGGCTTTGTTCTGAAGGTACTGGCCTAACAGTGACCTTGTTCTGAAGAAACTGGAATGACAGTGGCTTTGTTCTGAAGGTACTGGCCTAACAGTGACCTTGTTCTGAAGGCACTGGAATGACAGTGACCTTGTTCTGAAGACAATAGAATTACAATGACCTTGTTTAGGATACACTGGCCTAACAGTGAACATGTTCTGAAGACACTGGAATTACAATGACCTTGTTCTGAAGGCACTGGCCTAACAGTGACCTTGTTCTGAAGGCACTGGCCTAACAATGAACATGTTCTGAAGACACTGGAATTACAATGACCTTGTTCTGAAGGCACTGGCCTAACAGTGACCTTGTTCTGAAGGTACTGGCCTAACAGTGACCTTGTTCTGAAGGCACTGGCCTAACAATGAACATGTTCTGAAGACACTGGAATGACAATGGCTTTGTTCTGAAGGTACTGGCCTAACAGTGACCTCATTCTGAAGACACTGGAATGACAATGGCTTTGTTCTGAAGGTACTGGCCTAACAGTGACCTCATTCTGAAGACACTGGAATGACAATGGCTTTGTTCTGAAGATACTGGAATGACAATGTCTTTTTTCTGAAGAAACTGGAATGACAATGGCTTTGTTCTCAAGGTACTGGCCTAAGAGTGACCTTGTTCTGAAGACACTGGAATGACAGTGACCTTGTTCTAAAGACACTGGCCTAACAGTGACCTCATTCTGAAGACACTGGAATGACAATGGCTTTGTTCTGAAGGTACTGGCCTAACAGTGACCTTGTTCTGAAGGCACTGGCCTAACAGTGACCTTATTCTGAAGGCACTGGCCTAACAGTGACATTGTCCTGAAGAAGACACTGGAATGACAGTGACCTTGTTCTGAAGACACTAGAATTACAATGACCTTGTTTAGGATACACTGACCTAACAATGACCTTGTTCTGCATACACTGACCTTGTTCTGACTGATGTCCAGGGACTTGTAGAAGGTCTGACAGAGGGCGTACTCGAAGCTGTCCAGCTCCCTCTGTACAACGGCCAGGAAGTCCTCCACATTCTTCACACTCACCCGCATGCCTTGCACCAGAGTCTGAGGGACACATTTCTTATTTCGATTTTTAGCTTTAGACTTTACTTCAAGACACTATACATATACAAAATGTAGTGCCTTAAATTTAGTTAGAAAATGTAACAAAGGCATACAGTCACAGTCATAGAGGTCAGCCTGTCTAAACGTTTAAGACGAGTTTGGGTCTGAAATTCTAGTCTGCTCTACTTTGCTTCTTTAAAATAAATGTGTATGTTCTTATCGATTCGTGAAAATACACATAAAGGATAGATATCATGAGGTTTTCTAATTGATAAATATTTCATTCATATTTGGTAGTTAGTTACATCACCTTGGACAATAGAATGCACACTAAACCCCTTATCTTAGAAGAAGTTAAATACTCTTAATACAGACACAAGCAGACATCTGGAAGCCAAGAAAACACTGTGACAATTCCTTCTTCACCTACCTGGTTGGTTTTAGATAATACAAGAGGAGTGTGGACCACAACAGTCACAAATAGCTCAGGGGTGAACACAATACTGCTGCCTGGGATCTGAAACTGAGCCAAGTGAGACACAAATCAGTATTTATACCATGAGTAAAATCCCACAATATTTGGGTATGATGTTCAGTTCCTCTCATGTACACACAAAACCCTATGGTACGAGGGGTGTTCATTAAAGATTTCCCCTGACCCACTTCTGACGGACCAAGATAGATAGATAGAATGAAACTTGGCATAGGTATTAGTCTTTCTCCACATAGGAACCACCAAGAGTTACACACTTCTCCCATCGTTTTATGCAACTACGGAGACCTCGCTTGTAAAAGCCCTCATTTTGCGTCTCAAACCAGGACTTGACTTCAGAAATCAGTGTTTCCTCATCTGTGAAACGTTTTCCCTTCAAAAATGACTTCATGGTTGGAAAGAGGTGGAAGTCAGATGGTGCAAGGTCAGAAGAGTAAGGAGGATGTGGAAGGATTTCATAGCCACAGGACAGCGCTTCTATCTGGGCAACATGAGAGTTGTGTACTGGAGCATTGTCTTGCAGGAGACGGACACCCTTGGTCAGCATGCCACGCCTCTTAAGCTTGATAGCGTCCCTCAATTTCCGCAGCAGAGAAGCATAATAAGCTCCTGTAATTGTGGTACTCTTTGCCAAGAAATCCATCATGACTACTCCGTGCTGGTCCCAAAACACCGTGAGCATGACCTTGCCTGCAGAGGGTTGGACACGTGCCTTCTTTGGGGGTGGTGACTCCACATGCTTCCATTGCATCGACTGAACTTTAGTCTCAGGATCATAGTGATGGACCCATGTTTCATCCTGTGTGATAAGTCTGTCAAAAAAGTTTGCCTGTTTTTTTGGCACATGTCCAAAAGATCCAATGAGCAATTGATTCATTCCTGCTTTTGGAAAAATGTGAGCAACCTGGGAATCCATCATGCAGACACCTTATGCATGTTCAAATTGTCATGGATGATTTTTTACACAGACCCTACACTGATCTTGACATCTTGTGCTAACTGGCGAACAGTTATACGTCGGTCTACCAAAATGGCGGTCTCCACTTGATGGATAGTGTCCTCATCAATGGCTGAATGGGGGCGACCAGGAATGGCAGCTGTTTCCACAGATGTCCGACCACACTTGAACTGGCGATGCCAGTGTTTAACAACGTCATATGATGGGGCATCTTCCCCATAAGTTGCTTTCATTTCATCGAAAGTTTCTTTTGGTGTGCGACCTTTCAAATATAAAAACCTAATCACTGCTCGGTATTCTACGGGCTCCATTGTCACACCCTACTCGATCATAACACCTGTAAAAGTGGTAAGATTAATAGTTCGGTGCTGCAAATTCAGACATAACCCATAGATACATGTATCATTACACATGTGAAATTTCAACCAAATATGATAACCCTAAGTGGTTTAGGGGAAATCTTTAATGAACACCCCTCGTACAATCAACTCCTACAATCATGCACATCATGCTACTGACTAGGGCTGTTACGATTCACTTGCGTATTCGGTGAATCGAACCGTATGCCTTCATGAATTGAATTCATTATTCAGGGTCATTAGAACCGAATATGTGCAATTTTTTTGTTTTTTTACTTAAACTCGTCAGTTATTTATCAAAGCAAGATATGCAAAATGGAATATAGACAAGCCATGCAGTAGTGTAACTTGTGTCAGTTTGTTAAGGCCCCTAGTGGTACTGTCAACCAAAACATGAGGCTATAATATATGCCGTCGCAATGTATTGCTTGTTTTATTCACAAAAAAATATCACTGAAATGTTTCAACCTAAATAATAACATGACGCACATTTACATATATTTTTAATAAACTCAAGTTTTACACTGAATGCAAAAACAATACCAGCTTATTACTGTGAGCACTTAACACCGGATGTGACTTATTATTGTATTGTGAATTAATATTCATATTCCTTACCCTATATTATTGATACGTATCATACGAGCTTCATAGTGTATGCTCTGCAGCACTACTACTGACACAAGTTTGCTCTCCATATAACCACTTACCGGTTTGACAAGGCCATGTAGACAGTTGCTGAGAGTAAGCATCAACTCATCATTTACAACCCAGCCATCGCAGATATTCTACAATACAGACACGTTTTAAATTAGCTTCCATATGATATAATCATAATAACATCCAAGCAGGCATACAATGTATCCATGGGTGGGGACGGATCAAAGACCTGGACCCACTTTCACAAAGCGATCTTAGCGCTAAGATGATCATAACTCCCATGCATTAACAGAGGCTTACGATAGTCTTAGTGCTAAGATCGCTTTGTGCAAGTGGGCCCCAGCTATTCAACCTTCTTGGGGAGTGGCTGGAACTTTTGTTTAAGACATATTATTTTTCTGGTCACTGATTCAAGACATACAGTTATTCTTTTAACAAAACATATTTTGAGGACATGCAAACATGTCCAGCAATCACCTTTAGTGTGTAAAACTTAGTTCTTTCAGTATTTTATGGATTTTTTCTATCCACATCACAGTTTTTTTTCTATCCACATCACAGGTTGTTTCTATCCACATCACAGGTTTTTTCTATCCACATCACAGTTTTTTTCTATCCACATCACAGGTTTTTTCTATCCATATCACAGGGGTTTTTTTATCCATATCACAGGGTTTTTCTATCCACATCACAGTTTTTTTCTATCCACATCACAGGTTTTTTCTATCCACATCACAGGTTTTTTCTATCCAATCACAGTATTTTTCTATCCATATCACAGGGTTTTTCCATCCACACCACAGTTTTTTTCTATCCACATCACAGGTTTTTTCTATCCACATCACAGGTTTTTTCTATCCATATCACAGGGTTTTTTTTATCCATATCACAGGGTTTTTCTATCCACATCACAGTTTTTTTCTATCCACATCACAGGTTTTTTCTATCCACATCACAGGTTTTTTCTATCCAATCACAGTATTTTTCTATCCATATCACAGGGTTTTTCCATCCACACCACAGTTTTTTTCTATCCACATCACAGGTTTTTTCTATCCATATCACAGGTTTTTTCTATCCACATCACAGGTTTTTTCTATCCACATCACAGGGTTTTTCTATCCATATCACAGTTTTTTTCTATCCACATCACAGGTTCTTTCTATCCATATCACAGGGTTTTTCTATCCATATCACAGGCCCCCACCAGACTATCAAATGGTTGGTCTCTAACTTGGTTAAGCTTCTGTGTACTAAATTACAATAGCACAAACAGAGTACCACAGGTACAGAAGCTCACCTTTATTTAGGGATAGAACATTAAGGGTGAGCCAAACTAGTTATTTTGTATAAAAATTTTTTTACGAATCTTTAAAGTTCTTACAACATTTTTTAATACCTTTTTTAAAATGTCCTAATATTTTAACAGAGAACTTAACTTTCAGCTTTAGCATGTTTGGGAGTTCCTTTACTGGAACAGAATAAAAGTTTTGAATCTTATTTCTTCCTGTCAATAGTGAAAAGAAATTCAAATAGGACAATATAACAGAGGAACGGTATAAACAAAAGCAGTAACTCTCTGACATGGTGTGTTTTTTGTCTGTTCATATATTTCTATTCTACTCAATCTACATAATGATTAACAGATTTAGGTTTGTCAATCAAAAACATCTTTTATTTCATCCAATGACCTATGGGTTAGAAAAAAAAATCAAACCTGCTAACAAATACATTTATGAAAAAAACAATGTCTCAAACATAACTCATATACATGTATTCAATTTAGCTTTTTTCTATTATAGAAGCAGAGAACAACACATGTAGAAGAATTCAGAGGTTTACATCTTACCACAGACATGATTGAAGGGCTAAGGTCAAGGGTGAAGGCCAGGCGGTATCGAGAGGCCAGGAAGGTCACAATGGTCTGTGGGGTGATACACACACTGTAGGTCTGGCCTGGCCGAAGTGGTGGCTGGCCATCTGGTGGCACGACAGACAAGATAGATAACTCTTCCTCCGACTCGCCCTGGATCAACATAATAAGGAATTTCTTTAATTCTCTCATTTCAAAAGTATTGTCTATGATGCATTCTTATGACTAAAAATATGACTTCAATATTGTAAAATTTTCATATTACAATAATATATTCTGTCATAATAAATACTGTGGACTCATTCACCATCATAGCTTCGGTATGGAAGTGATTTCATCATCGCCGCAGCTTTGGTTCGGAAGTGATGTCATCATCGCCACAGGTTTAGTTCGAAAGTGACTTCATCATCGCCATCTCTCTAATCACTGACTAAGCATAGAAAATCTCTTGCCCAGAAGCTCCTAATCAGCAGCCAACCAGATATACTCATCTGAACGGCATAGATCTACATTCGGTCTCATCGAAGTGAGCCCTCACTTAAGCACAGGGGCTTACAGTAAAAGAAAAGACTAATAAACAAACTTCCTGATATTGTCCAGGGCACCATTCCACAAAGAGATCTCAGTGCTACGACTATCGTAAGTCAATGTTAAAGTATGGGAAATACGATCACCTTAGCGCTAAAATGGCTTTATGGAACCGGGCCCTGAGCATTGCGCAATGTTAAGAGAGGGGAGGGAAGTAAGAGTGACAGAGTTGAGATGCTGAAAATACTACACTTACCACATGTTCCTGGGGGGTGAATGGGATGACAGAGTTGAGATGCTGAAAATACTACACTTACCACATGTTCCTGGGGGGTGAATGGGATGACAGAGTTGAGATGCTGACAATACTACACTTACCACATGTTCCCGGGGGGTGAATGGGATGACAGAGTTGAGATGCTGAAAATACTACACTTACCACATGTTCCTGAGGGGTGAATGGGATGACAGAGTTGAGATGCTGACAATACTACACTTACCACATGTTCCTGGGGGGTGAATGGGATGACAGAGTTGAGATGCTGAAAATACTACACTTACCACATGTTCCTGGGGGGTGAATGGGATGACAGAGTTGAGATGCTGAAAATACTACACTTACCACATGTTCCTGGGGGGTGAATGGGATGACAGAGTTGAGATGCTGAAAATACTACACTTACCACATGTTCCTGGGGGGTGAATGGGATGACAGAGTTGAGATGCTGAAAGTACCATGATGCCCGGATGTTTCGGGAGATCCTGCATCCACGCCTCATTAACACATACACATCACGGGCATCCAAAACCTGGAATTAGAGGACAATTGATTTGAATGTAAATGCCGCAATAATCAGTATCAAGGTTTATCAACATGAACTTTGAATTGGGAGTCCTTTGTAAACATGATGATGCCAACTCTAGGACGCTAACTTTTAAATCTACCATATGTGACAAGTAGTCTCACTACTAGCAGCATTTGTGTATGACGTCATTTGTATTACGTCATATGTATGACGTCACAACTTTGGGTGTACCGCCATCTTGCCTAGCTAAGTACAGTATGTCCACCACACATACACTGTTTGTGGTATGTTATGGAACCCCCTGATTCATGTCTGTGTCTCAGACAGACATGAAGACTTAAACACCATATACAATTAATGCGTGAATCCTTATCTTTATATCGCGCTGAATCCTTATCCTTTATATCACAGTTATGGGTTTTCAGATGCTTAAGAAATATACCTAGTTTTCTCTCTAATCACATGAACAACTGTAAAACATCTCGTTCACTTTTAGAGGACAACTTTCTCTTAAAAACAAGCCTTCATCTGAGTATTTACAATGTCAGTGTGGTGCTACACCCCCTGTTAGAGGGCAAATATCGCCTTTGTAAAACGTATGATCACACATTACTATTTATCAGGCTGTTTATGCCACCTCATAGGATTATTTTCAGCTATATGATCTCTAAAATTTTTTATAGGTATTACTTAGAAGTTGACGGATGACAGGTAGACACAATTTTATGGATAACCACTTCTTTAATACTGTAAAAAGCAACGTTTCGATATAGATCCTTATACCGTTGGTGCCTATCAAAATATTTAGAGATCTTATAGGATCTATACCAAAACATCTCTTTTTACAGTATTAAAGAAGTTGTAATCCATAAAATTGTGTCTACCTTATATGATCTCTAACCCTTATAGGCCTCATACTTTGAGGTGACTGCCTATTCATCGCTGTTATATGTCAGTCATAAGTCAGTGAAATGCACTTCAATATAAAGTCACGTGTACAAAAACATGACCGACCAGTGACTGATATGCAGTTATAAAAGAGTACGGTTATGTCAAACATCGACCTGTGCGACGGAAGCTTACTACGGTTAAATGAAACAATGTGATCGAATACCGAACAACTTTCGACAGTTATAGGACTTGACAGACGAAACACGCTAACTAATTAGTTTTCTTACAGTATTTCCATCCCCTTCGCTTTCGTGGTCCATTTTGTAGGTATCACCAAAGTGTCATTATGCTATAACAAGCAAAACAATGGTAGATGTAGCGCTATGTCAAACACACATCACCGTATATACATTTCACCTACGGCCTTGACCTTCTTTGAGATCACGCAGGCTCTCGTGCAGGCGTATTAATGATAGGGGAATTCCCTATCTGTAGTTTCCCCACAGAGACAGGTAAGTCTCCGGAGACAGGTAAGAATATGAATTTTGTTTCAGCTGAAGGGTCTTTGACATTAAATGTGTAGACCTTTAATTAGCACATGTGTGATATTATTTGAATGTCATTAAACAAGAATGATTGGGGGAAACGACATCTTTTAAATGTATCGTGATCTACCTCCTGTTTTTGGAACAGGGAACATATCGCTTTCCATTTGAAATTCAAATACTTGTATATTACTTGAGTAATAAAATATGAGAATTAACCTTATTCTTGATTTAAGAAATTATTTCAGAAATTCAGTGAGACAAAAGATAAAACAATACCGTAACCTGCACAGTAATTTCCTGCACCTCATAAGATTTCACATCTTCCGTCCCCTGAACAATGTTTAACAATATAGGACAATATAAATTGTACAAATTCATTTTTGTTTAATGTAGGATCATGTAGGCTTAAGTAAAATGTGTGTTTGTGACATTCGGAATATTTTACTTTTTAACGTGTTAGACGTACGGGTTTTTTTAAATGATTTATATATATATATATATCATTAAAAAAAACGTCATTATGTTTATGTGTGTGTGTGTGTGTGTGTGTGTGTATATATATATATATATATATAATTAAATAAGTGGAGTAAGATTGAACACAGTTTTAATAGGCTAGCACTTTCAACTCGTACCACGCCATCTTGCTGAACTTAAGAATTTCCTACTGCATCAAAATTATCCCGCAAAGCTAATTGAAGATAGCATACAGAAGGCGCTAAGTATTAAGCAACTAAAACTGAGAGAAAAGTCTGAAGAAAACAATATGGGGAATAATTTAACTCTAGTATCTACCTTCAACCCTAATCATGAAAAAACATTATCCATGGTTCAATGATACCTGCCTATTTTGAATCAAAGTGTTAAAATGGAGAAGATATTGAGCAAATACAAAATTTATCAACAGCCAAAGACAACCCAAAATCTTTAGAAAGATTTTGACAAGTTCTAAATTTGATTCTGTTGTCATCACTCCACAGGTTTCTAAGTGCGGTGAAAAATGTTGCCTAACTTGCAGCAATATAATTGAAGGCTGTTCAGTCCAAATTACAAAGGAAACTTAATTTACTGTAAAACAAAATATGACTTGTGATACTAGAAATGTTATTTACTTGATTGTTTGTAGTGGACGCAATGAAAAGTACATCGGAAAGACAGAACTTAAATTAAAAAGAAGAATGAATCTTCACCGTTCACAAATAAAGCAGCCACACATCCGCACTATTCCACTCAGTGAACATTTAGAAGCATGTGGAAACGGCAACTTTTTAGTTTTCCCGCTATATAAGCTAAATTTTGATCATGAACCTACATTGTTTCAAAAAGAGCATCATTTCATTCATAAATACGCGCCTAAGTTAAATGTACAGGCGTAAGTTATTTGTCCCTTTTCACCATGGTATTGTGACGTCATAGTTTCCTAAATGTTATGACGTCACATAACTATATGTTACTACTTCATGTCCATTATTCAGTTATGGCCTGATGAGACTCGTATTACGTGGTACGAGTTGAAAGCGCTAGCCTATTGAAACTGTGTTCAATCTTACTCCACTTATTTAATTATTACTATGTTGTGCCTGAGAGTTAGAACTTTACTGTGCTTTTTATATATATATCATTTTAAAAAAATGTCATTCTTTTAACACTGTTTAAAAAGTAAAATATATACAGAAACAATGTATATGTACAGAAACAATGTATATGTACAGAAACAATGTATATGTACAGAAACAATGTATATGTACAGAAACAATAACAATGTATATGTACAGAAACAATAACAATGTATATGTACAGAAACAATAACAATGTATATGTACAGAAACAATGTATATGTACAGAAACAATGTATATGTACAGAAACAATGTGTATATACAGAAACAATGTATATGTACAGAAACAATGTATATGTACAGAAACAATAACAATGTATATGTACAGAAACAATGTATATGTACAGAAACAATAACAATGTATATGTACAGAAACAATGTATATGTACAGAAACAATAACAATGTATATGTACAGAAACAATGTATATGTTCAGAAACAATGTATATGTACAGAAACAATGTGTATATACAGAAACAATGTATATGTACAGAAACAATGTATATGTACAGAAACAATGTATATGTACAGAAACAATGTATATGTACAGAAACAATAACAATGTATATGTCCAAAAACAATGTATATATACAGAAACAATGTATATATACAGAAACACTGTTTATATACAGAAACAATGTATATGTACAGAAACAATGTATATGTACAGAAACAATGTATATGTACAGAAACAATAACAATGTATATGTACAGAAACAATGTATATATACAGAAACAATAACAATGTATATGTACAGAAACAATAACAATGTATATGTACAGAAACAATGTATATATACAGAAACAATAACAATGTATATGTACAGAAACAATAACAATGTATATGTACAGAAACAATGTATATATACAGAAACAATAACAATGTATATGTACAGAAACAATAACAATGTATATGTACAGAAACAATGTATATGTACAGAAACAATGTATATGTACAGAAACAATGTGTATATACAGAAACAATGTATATGTACAGAAACAATAACAATGTATATGTACAGAAACAATGTATATGTACAGAAACAATGTATATGTACAGAAACAATAACAATGTATATGTACAGAAACAATGTATATATACAGAAACAATAACAATGTATATGTACAGAAACAATAACAATGTATATGTACAGAAACAATGTATATGTACAGAAACAATAACAATGTATATGTACAGAAACAATAACAATGTATATGTACAGAAACAATGTATATGTACAGAAACAATTTATATGTACAGAAACAATGTGTATATACAGAAACAATGTATATGTACAGAAACAATGTATATGTACAGAAACAATGTATATGTACAGAAACAATAACAATGTATATGTCCAAAAACAATGTATATATACAGAAACAATGTATATGTACAGAAACAATGTATATGTACAGAAACAATGTATATGTACAGAAACAATAACAATGTATATGTACAGAAACAATAACAATGTATATGTACAGAAACAATGTATATGTACAGAAACAATAACAATGTATATGTCCAAAAACAATGTATATATACAGAAACAATGTATATGTACAGAAACAATGTATATGTACAGAAACAATGTATATGTACAGAAACAATAACAATGTATCTGTACAGAAACAATGTATATGTACAGAAACAATGTATATGTACAGAAACAATAACAATGTATCTGTACAGAAACAATGTATATGTACAGAAACAATAACAATGTATATGTACAGAAACAATGTATATGTACAGAAACAATGTATATGTACAGAAACAATGTGTATATACAGAAACAATGTATATGTACAGAAACAATGTATATGTACAGAAACAATGTATATGTACAGAAACAATAACAATGTATATGTCCAAAAACAATGTATATATACAGAAACAATGTATATATACAGAAACACTGTATATATACAGAAACACTGTATATATACAGAAACAATGTATATGTACAGAAACAATGTATATGTACAGAAACAATGTATATGTACAGAAACAATAATAATGTATATGTCCAAAAACAATGTATATATACAGAAACAATGTATATATACAGAAACAATGTGCACACACAAACAATAACCCCTACAGCTCTAATGTTTTAGAATATATTATGACAGATTGCTGAGATTAAATATATCATTTTTAATTTCGATCATATTCATTTTTGCTTATGGGTCTGGTTTTTTTAAATGTCCCTTTTCACAGGGATCCATTTTAGCCAGCTCCCCTGTACAAGTACATTGTTATTGTAACGGTGCAGTTTGTCGTTTGTGGTTATGACTGATTTAAAAGTATACATTTTAACACAAAACAATCACATATAACCATGATAACAAAACACACATTCTTCATTTATTCGACACGTTCTTTACTTTATGTGTTATGCTATATTTGCTACATTGTACATAACTTTCACATGCTCTTGGAATGAACCTGCCTCAATTAGCACTGCATCTATTCATTTCCTATATGTTTAGGTGATCACAATTACCTGCCACAGCAGCTGATAGATCCAGTTAAAGATGCTGATGCATAAGTGAGTCAAGTGACCTTGTTTAGCTTAAAGCAAGATCTAAAATGGATGCAGATGACTCTGACTGGGAGTTCTATGATGAGTCAGCTGATGATTCTATGGATGAATCAGATGCTCCAACACAAAGTCCTCCTGATGTTCTGACACAAATTCCTCTGGATGTTCCAACACAAAGTCCTCCTGATGTTCAGACGCAAAGTCCCCCTGATGCTCCAACACAAAGTCCTCCCAACGCTCCAACACAAATTAGCCCTGGAGACACAGAGGAAGACCAACCTACTTTGCCAAAACGGGCACGGCTTACAGCTGATGTTGTCATTTATTCCAGAGTGCCACGTAAGACTAGTCTTCAAAGACAGACTGAAAAGCTGTTGCCACCTTGTGAAAGTGTTCAGCGTGCCACTCATTCAAGGGTGGGCTCTTCTTTGCAGTCTGGTAGTGGAAGCCATGGAGCTGGTGATGTCAACCAAGAATTACTTCATGCAGGTAACAGCTGGTTTCATCAACAGACGTTTCACAACATATAGCACCACGGCACTTAAGAGCGGTGATTTTATAAGTTCACATTTTTGTCTTCTCAGTGAACGTTGTAATGTCATAAACGTGGTGTGCAGTGTCAAACTAAAGGTTGCTTGTTCACTTGTGTGAACACAGACTAAAATAACAATTAGCACATGTCACGAATTAGCTGTTTGACACACTTCCTACCTATGCCTCTCACAATTTGAGTAGTGTATATAAAGGAACACTCAACTGTTGAGGACATAATGAAACATATAATTTGTTCAAAGTCATTTGTCAGTGTTTCTTAACTTTGGCTGGCTTTGAACCTTCTGAAAACATTGGACTCAACCGTCCCATGCCACTTCCATCTTTATCTTTGCTGACAAAATGGGTTTTGTTCTTGTCATATTAGAATGGCGATAAACACATACATGTATTTTTTTCAATGTAGAGTAAAGTAACATGTAGATTTTGCAGTATTCCATTTAACATTTAAAAGACCATATTGCACGTTCGGTTCCATTCCAATTTAGCACAGTCAAATCTGTAATCAACATGTGTCGACATTGACATAAACAACATGCTTATCTCCTCAGTAAATAACTGTCCAGATTAGCTTGTAACATATGACAGTACATCTCACAGTCAAGACTGTTCGTCAACCAAGATCATAAATGTGTGTGTGATGATGATTGTGTACTGTAAAATATATTTACAATCAAGAATTGTGTCATATTGCCTGGAAGTATATTGCTAGTGTGGCCGCTGGGTAATGGGGACAGGCGGCTATTTCCAAGGTTGGGATTACTCAGATTAAGTTTCCTCACTGATTCTTCTTCCAGCTCGGGACATGCTGTGTGACTCCACAGGCAGGAACCCGACGCTCAATCTCTACAACATGGACAACAACACTGGGGTTACAATCAAGTCAGTTACAAGTAAGGTGATTTAGGTATTTTAACATTTGGGCACGTATATGAGTTATCAGTACTTTAGTATTTCATTTATGTTCATGAGAGTTTATTCAACAATCTCAAATCACTGGAAATAGTAGTTTAGCGCGTGATACTGCTTGATTCCTGACATATTCTACCCCACACTGAAACACATGTTGGACAATGGTTGTAGTGACTAAAAGGTGAGACTGTACACTCCCCCACAACCCCACACTGAAACACATGTTGGACAATGGTTGTAGTGACTAACAGGTGAGACTGTACACTCCCCCACAACCCCACACTTGTAGTGACTAACAGGTGAGACTGTACACTCCCCCACAACCCCACACTGAAACACATGTTGGACAATGGTTGTAGTGACTAACAGGTGAGACTGTACACTCCCTCACAACCCCACACTGAAACACATGTTGGACAATGGTTGTAGTGACTAACAGGTGAGACTGTACACTCCCCACAGCCCCACACTGAAACACATGTTGGACAATGGTTGTAGTGACTAACAGGTGAGACTGTACACTCCCCCACAACCCCACACTGAAACACATGTTGGACAATGGATGTAGTGACTAACAGGTGAGACTGTACACTCCCCCACAACCCCACACTTGTAGTGACTAACAGGTGAGACTGTACACTCCCCCACAACCCCACACTGAAACACATGTTGGACAATGGATGTAGTGACTAACAGGTGAGACTGTACACTCCCCCACAACCCCACACTGAAACACATGTTGGACAATGGATGCAGTGACTAACAGGTGAGACTGTACATTCCACTACAACCCCACACTGAAACACATGTTGGACAATGGTTGTAGTGACTAACAGGTGAGACTGTACACTCCCCCACAACCCCACACTGAAACACATGTTGGACAATGGATGTAGTGACTAACAGGTGAGACTGTACACTCCCCACAGCCCCACACTGAAACACATGTTGGACAATGGTTGTAGTGACTAACAGGTGAGACTGTACACTCCCCACAGCCCCACACTGAAACACATGTTGGACAATGGTTGTAGTGACTAACAGGTGAGACTGTACACTCCACTACAACCCCACACTGAAACACATGTTGGACAATGGTTGTAGTGACTAACAGGTGAGACTGTACACTCCCCCACAACCCCACACTGAAACACATGTTGGACAATGGATGTAGTGACTAACAGGTGAGACTGTACACTCCACTACAACCCCACACTGAAACACATGTTGGACAATGGTTGTAGTGACTAACAGGTGAGACTGTACACTCCCCCACAACCCCACACTGAAACACATGTTGGACAATGGTTGTAGTGACTAACAGGTGAGACTGTACACTCCCCCACAACCCCACACTGAAACACATGTTGGACAATGGATGTAGTGACTAACAGGTGAGACTGTACACTCCACTACAACCCCACACTGAAACACATGTTGGACAATGGATGTAGTGACTAACAGGTGAGACTGTACACTCCCCCACAACCCCACACTGAAACACATGTTGGACAATGGATGTAGTGACTAACAGGTGAGACTGTACACTCCACTACAACCCCACACTGAAACACATGTTGGACAATGGTTGTAGTGACTAACAGGTGAGACTGTACACTCCCCCACAACCCCACACTGAAACACATGTTGGACAATGGTTGTAGTGACTAACAGGTGAGACTGTACACTCCCCCACAACCCCACACTGAAACACATGTTGGACAATGGTTGTAGTGACTAACAGGTGAGACTGTACACTCCCCCACAACCCCACACTGAAACACATGTTGGACAATGGTTGTAGTGACTAACAGGTGAGACTGTACACTCCACTACAACCCCACACTGAGGCACATGTTGGGCAATGGTTGTAGTGACTAACAGGTGAGACTGTACACTCCACTACAACCCCACACTGAAACACATGTTGGACAATGGTTGTAGTGACTAACAGGTGAGACTGTACACTCCCCACAGCCCCACACTGAAACACATGTTGGACAATGGATGTAGTGACTAACAGGTGAGACTGTACACTCCCCCATAACCTCACCGGTGATTGTATTGTTTCTTCGTCACCTTCATCTTCTGTTGCTGAGAGTATCAAGCTTCCACATGAGGGCATCCCTAAGACTGAGACTTTGATTGAACCTTCTCTTCTGTTACTTTTTGTCACTCTCCGTCTACTGCTAGACGTTCCAGATCCCTGATTCATCGCTCTTCTGGTGAGCGGTCATCACAGGATCACCGAACAGAGTCACAGACTCTACTCTTGATCAAGATTCGCGTGCATCACGCTCTTGAGAGTATTCTCATGAGGATCATCGATTCCCCTGATAGTGTCAACTTGTGAAGTTTCAGCATTCGACAGATAAATTGGATTCTACAGCTAGATCGCTCAACTCTGATCCAAGATTGTCTAAGGATCAGCGCCCCTAAGATTGGGACCTGCAGCCTTGGATCCACCAATCACAGGAAATGTGGAGGATCGGCGTTCCCCCAAGGCTCAATGAACCTCTACAGATCGACGATCTTACGCTGAACGCTACTCTTCTAGGGATCGTCAATCAGGGAAAAGACCATCCACCATTGTCTGAAGTTTCCCATACCATGATAATTCTTGTGAATACCTCACCTCTATCACATCAGTGCCATAAATTCCTGTTTATGCTGAGAACCACACTATAAATTTTTTATAAATTTTCAACAGACGTCCACTACACTGCCAACATATCCATAGTTGTGAGGGAAACCCTATCCCTTGCCAGAGGCGCCACTGCGCATGCGCAAGGCGAGAATCTAGTCACTTCTTTCCTGTGTGTCCTGATGACAATTATTTTTGTTGCACATCTGAACACGTGATTGCGTTCCACACTACAAGCATTAGATTGTCTCAAGCTTCATAGATTACAAGCAAAGAGCTGTTCTACAAGCAGAACGGGGGTATAGAAGATCAGAGCTTAGTAAGTAATTAGTTAAGAAAAGTGTTGTGGGATGAGATCTTCATCTCATAAGCAGACACCTGTCTGTTCGGGCTGTGGACAACACCAAGCTCCCGGTGATCCTAACCCTAGATGTCTTGCATGCTAGAAAAGCAGCTGTACACAGAAATCAAGGTGCAGCTCTTGCGAGCATCTGTCAAAAGAAAAATTTGACAAGCTCTCCAAGGCATGGATCAAAAATTCCGATTATGTAAAGATCACTAGAGCATCTACATCAAGAAAACAAGTGATAAGCCCTTGGCGGCCAAAATTAATTATGTGGGTGACAAGCGAGTGTCGCGCGAAGGCGCCGTCTCACCTTATGAGGAGAAGAGACCCTGTCGCTCATCCCACTCTCCCAATAATGTTGAGGAGCAGATGCATTTAACTAGGTCAAAAAAAAAGTGCCTCTAGCTTGCATCTGGCAACGTCTGGTATGGTCGATCATCGAGTTTGGCCAGAAACTAACGATTTTCACCCTCTGCCGCGTTCCCCCTTTAACGTAAATGAGTTCACGGAAAGAATAACAAATTCTATGTCTGTTATGATTGACACACGCATGCATTCTATGTCTCGAGAAATCTCAGAGCTAAAAGAATCCGTGAATCAAACCCGGCTTGGCCAATCAGGGATTGATCACGAGAGTAAACAGAGATCTAAGGCTGAATATGATAGTACCCCCTCATACAGCAGACATGTACAAGGTTACGCTGAATCAGGCTATGACAGGACAGTAGGAGAATTATACTAAGAGACCGAGAATCTCATAGATCTTCTCCCTACCATGCACACAACAGGGCTCATCGTGAAACACGATCTTCACATCGCAGTATGCACAGAAATACGCACCAATCACCGTCAAGCCACTATGATAGACGTACCGACAAAGCTCGTGCATATCAGGATAGTAAGCCTAAGCGTGCACCATCTCATACTGCCACTCAGTCCTGTTATTCGTGCGGAGAAAGCGAGGGAAATATGACATCACCATACAGTTATAGACCACGTGATTCCCGCACAGCTTGCCGTAAATCAGACGACCGGGATTACGATACCCTCAGCCATACGACCCACTCCCAGCCCAGCCAGAGTAGGGGGTGCCGATCTACAGCTAACACTGATTATTCATGCTATGGGGACACTACTATGGAGGATGATTATAGACCAAACAATTACTCCCTTAGAGACATCATAGCAGAACTTTATGAACTAATGCCCACCTTAAAACCAGATCAGGACGGTACACCTGTTAAACCCTTGATTGAACGAGCAGGATATGAGGGACCCAATAAGGGGACCAAACCATTCCATACGCTTCCCCCTCCGTCATATTTGGATGACGTCATCAAGAGAACTGAAAATCAATTGAACTTTGCAGCGGGTACTAGTGCTAGACTGAGGCCTATCTATAATAGATCTGCTTACAAAACACATGATGATCCGTTCACACTACAGCCTAGCATTGATGAAGATTACTTCGATCTGGTTAAGAAACATAACCCCAATATGCGTATTGATATGACCAAGATCAAGAGCTTAGATAAGGTCAATAAACAAATGATTAATAACAGTTCTTACATCAACTGGTTAGCAGCTGGTATTCGCCATGTCATACCCCCGTACAACCAGAGCGATGATCTTCCTTTAGACACTTCCACGGAGATGACTAGCTCATACGTCACGACCTATTGAGACAACCAAAGACGGACATATTTTACGGCCGCCTCGACAACCTCCATCTTCATGCTTGGAAGTTATCTCGTATAAGATGCAAGCCGTCAGTTACTCTAAAGCAGCTGCGTGAAGAGTGGCTAGCTCATGGAGACCAGCCTCAACTGCCTTATACAATAACAGATGGGACAAGTTCGTAGAATGGAGAAGAGGAAAACAGTTACATGGAGATATAACGATACCTATAGTAGCCGAATTCTTGCTCCATCTCAGAAACGACAAGAAATTACGACACGGCACTATCGAAGGATATAGATCAGCACTGTCATCAGTATTACAACACGATGACCTATCTGTAGGTACCCATCCAGTACTAAATCGACTTATGAAGTCTTTTGCCCTGGAAGATATAAAAGTACCACATACCTTCCCAAAATGGGATCTATCTATAGTATTGTCAGCATTGATGAAAGCACCTTATGAACCCATGAGTAGTGCGACATTACTATCAGTCTCCAAGAAAACTGCTTTTCTCCTAGCCATGGCTACGGCGGCTCGCGTGTCAGAACTACACGCTATTGACATCTCCACTGTAACTCATACCCAAGAATGGAAAGCAGTGTCGTTCAGATCGCTCCCGGAATTTATTGCCAAAAACCAGTCGGGGGGGAGGGGGGGGGGGTTTGAAGATTTCAGAAGTACCTCATGAACTCAGGGTAAGTTGTATTTTGTTACTGGATTGCGCTATTGAGTTAGTAAAACAGGGCAAATGACAACACTGAAATCAGAGATCGAAGGATTAAGTGATATACGGTAATCTACATGATAGGAACGTCAATGTACTACCACCGGAAGTGACGTCATAGGAGTCATCACACCGGAATAACGTTAAGATACGTTAAATATCACTATCCAAAAAGGGCATAACGGTAAACCACGTCATAAGTGATACGAGAGAATAGTGACTCGGAAGTGACGTCACAGATGACATCATCACCGGAAGTGACGTCACAGATGACGTCATCACAGGAAGTGACGTCACTAAATGTCTAAGTATCACAAGGGAATATACATATACCCTTCACATGACGTCTTGAAAATTCTATAGGTCTAAGTCTCGTAAGTAGACTATTAGACACATCCGTTTAAGACCTCTTTTGGCATATAATCCTTGGTTTTACCACTCCACTAGCCAAATATCTATGAGATGCTAGATACCAGAACCTGCCGGTCCCTCTGGCAGGTGTATACTGGCACTGATGTGATAGAGGTGAGGTATTCACAAGAATTATCAAACAATAGTTATCATAGTGAATAATTCTAAGAATACCACCTCTATCACATCAGGAATTAATCCCTCCCACCTCCCCAAATATCTGCATCTAGTTGATGAGAGTAATGGGTTGAAAGAAGTGACTAGATTCCCGCCTTGCACATGTGCAGTGGCGCCTCTGGCAAGGGATAGGGTTTCCCTCACAACTATGGATATGTTGGCAGTGTAGTGGACATCTGTTGAAAATTTATAAAAAATTTATAGTGTGGTTCTCAGCATAAACAGGAATTTATGGCACTGATGTGATAGAGGTGGTATTCTTAGAATTATTCACAATGATAACTATTGTTTGATTTTGTTTAGGATTCCTTCAGTTATCCTCCAAGTTTATACTTTTGCTAGCCTACATGCTACGGTTGCACCCAACCCAAACGAAACTCACGCTGTCGCCTTTACTATGGCTCTGCACAGAAATTGTACTTTGCCTGCAATTATGGAAGGATGTTTCTCAAAATCTGATACAGTTTTCGCATTCCACTGCCTCCGAAACATCTGCCAATGTTGTCCAAGGTCTGCATCAAATTTGGCCTTTGGTTCTCGAACAACAAGTCTCCAAGACACATCTGCGCAGATAGGGTGATACGTGTTCCCGATCCAGTTTCCTTGTATCTTGTCTCTTTCTAGATATAATAAACCTTGGCATGATTGTTTGAGTTTCTTATATTTTTTCAGTTCTCCCAGACAAGTATCTGATTGGAGGGTGCATTCACTTGTCTGCAGAGACTTTGGTGTTCATGTGGAAGTCGCCTTTAGGTGCATCCTGATTTTGGTGCCCGATCCCCTATTCCACTCACCACTGCTTTGTGTAGTGCATCGACGATCCTTCTTAGGATATCATCGATTGTTGTATCGATTCATTTATGGGAGATAGTGATACACCTGTCATGTAGAATCGATTGGCAAGATACTTTCCAAATCAATTAGAAGTTGCTCACTCACGTATGAACATGTCACACATATTGGACCTGACTTCATGTGTTTTTCCCCTGTAAATGTAGCAGGGTGACAACTCTCTTTGGGAGTGTTTCATCCCTATCCACAAGCTTTCTGAATTCATTGTATTTGAATAAAAAGATATTTTTAAAACTATAAATTTTAGAAAAGTTAAAAATCTTATTCTTAAGAGCTACAGGACACACTGCCGAAACTGTGTGTAAAAGTACATGACCTTGTAATGATCAAGTTTGTTCAAGGCATCACTGTTAGCACTAAATAGCATTGTAGTAAATGTTGCTGCAAAGATACTTTTATTTCCTTTTCCTGGAATCTTTGCTCTATCTTTTGTAAACTCACTGTACATGCTGTAGATGTTTGTACCAAAATAAAGTTGAATTGTATAACATAATATCTTCAAAAGACAGTTGGGCTGCAGGGATGTCTTCAACAAATTCAACTTGTTAGCATGTCAGGTCAGGTTTGAAAATAGACGAATTGGTCAGCATACACATTGTTCAGCCCAAATCTCAAAAGATCTCTGATTTTAGTTTATTTGGTAAAAGATTTTCTTCTCTGTGTAAAACAATCATTTGTTCTATTGTTTCAGGAGCAATGGATCCACAGTTAAAGAATCTCATTGGTAGGTAACCTTCATTCTGCCCATTTCTATCTATAAATCTGTTCACCTCCAATTCACCTTCAGTTCTATTTTCCCACCAATGACAACACCAGAATTGGTTCAAGAGGCTCCAATCCAATTTATCAAAATGGCCACTATGGCAGTCATATTGAAAACCCCGTTATTGGACATAAGTATTAACATTAAAGTTTTTAAGATTGTATCACAAAACATGATGAAGTATGTCAAGTAAACAAATAACAAATTATTTATATCCATCTATGGTCTACTCAAATACTCAACCATTCTATAATCCCTTAAATCTACTTCTTCAGGGCTTCTCTCTGACTATGAAAAGAAACAATGGCTTTGATCTCTGGTGAGACAATGGGAGTAATTTAATCGCCAATTAACTATGTTGTAACTAACTAGGCTTATGTTTGCTTCACATTCAGCGTGTTTATTCCACAATCACTTATACACACCATCTCCGACAGTTGTTAATACAACTGTAAAAACAACGGGAGTTGATTTCAGCTTCACCGGTTATCCCATGTTAGGACACGTGTGAAATATGCAAATGCTTACCGGTACTTCCGGCTCTCTACTCACGGATGTTGATTGTTTTACCATGTCAGCTGACTTGACAATCTGGATCGAGTCAAGGGTCATTTCAACTTTATTTGCAGAAAATAAGAAAAAACAGATACAAATCATGTTTATGTATGGAAATAGTTACTGGAACAGTTATTTAGGACGAAATGTGAAGTTTTATTGTCAAATGCTGGGTTGGCTAGTGAATGCCGGTTGACATCGCCAGTGGAAGCTGAAAGTAAAACACCTGGAAAAAAACGTGAGATCTTCGACTCCGTGTATAAGACAACCCCCCTTCTTAACCCCCTCATTCTAGGTACGAAAAACTTGCCTTATACACAGCGATATACGGTATTTAACTTTATATTGGAAAAGGACAAAATCCGATGTGAAAAGGTTTTAGTGAACATATCTGCATGTTATGTAAAGTTTCTAGTCTATGAGGGATGGTCGGGTAGCCTAGTGGTTAAAGTGTTTGCTCGTCACGCCGAAGACCCGGGTTCGATTCCCGACATGGGTACAATGTGTGAAGCCCATTTCTGGTGTCCCCCGCCGTGATATTGCTGGAATATTGCTAAAAGCGGCGTGTAAGCAAACTCACTCACTCTAATCTCAGAATTATTTTCTCAGATAAGGCACACTGGAGTATTCCAGGTGGTATTCTGACGTGAAGATGTCAACTTTCTGTTGATGTTTGTCGCCGGTTATAGGGTTTAGTTTTCTGAAAGGCATAAAAATGGAAAGTTTTTCATTTGTTAAATGACTGGAAAGAATTGTAAGACTGCTGGCATAAGAAAAATAAATGTCAGAAGGTATATATAAAATCAGAGTTGCAACTTTGTGTAACAGTGTTATTATGCAATATTACTGTCATTGTTGCAGAATGAAATATCTTGTTTTAAATTGGTTACTTGTTACATATTTGTCAATACTTTCATTCTCAATATTACCAGAAAGGTTTGTTTAGCAGATGTACTTGTTGATATTTTAGACTGTTGACTACTCAGAAGGCATATATAAAACAGAGATAAAACTTTATGTAACCGTGATATTATACTGTTATACCTTATTATGTTCATAGTCACAGAATAAAACATTTGCTGAAATGTGTTACTTGTGAAGGGTGACAGCAAGATGTCCTTGTTAACTACTGATGCAGGTGAGCTACAGTCCCATGGCACTAATTTTCTTATACTTTTGCAGATCAGAGTCATCTCCGTCTGAGGGATTTGAAAGAGGAACCATTTGTAAAGACACACTTCATCACACAGTCTGAAGGGTTTTTACACACAAGGGGTATGGTTGTCCTCACTGGCAGGTCAGGCGATGGAAAGACGACTGCTGGTTTGCACTTACTGAAGAGTTTCTCCGAACAAGAGTCCCGGAGCCCTGTCATTCTCACTGACCCCAATCAGTGGGACCATATTCCAGTGAAACAGCATGAAAGGAAGGTTCAACAAACCTTTTTTGTGTTGATAGATGATGCATTTGGAAAAACCAATCTGGTTCAGGATCTGGAGAACAGATGGAACCAGAAATTCCCTATGATGATCCCTGTCATAGAGGATGGGGTTGTCAAACTGGCAATAACAAGCCGTTCACATATATTGTCAGCATGTGTTGCTAAAACTACTTTTCTGAAGAAATGTCCAGTGGTTGATTTCTCAGTCATCGAAGAAAACCATGCAGATGAAAGACTAGCTATTCTAGAAGATCATTTGAAACTTTCTGGAACTGAAACCTGCATTGACACAATCGAGAAACAAAGGATTGTCCAAAGCAGTGACCTGATGGGATTTCCCCAATGCTGCTCTGTCTTCTCTAAAGATAAATCCATTCATCACCAGGCTTCAACTTTCTTCTTCAAGCCACTAACGTATATATCAGAGAATATAGAAAGTTTGTCCGACGGGGACCCAGTTGGCTATACAGTGCTTTTGTTGGTATTTCTGAAAGGAGGAGAACTACACAGGAGAATATTTAATCCATTTGACAGATCAAAAGAAGACAGCGACCTCCTAGAGAAGTTTCTTAGTTTCAGTAGTTGTGACATTCAACAGTTAGAGAGAAAAGCCAAGAGTATGTGCACAACGTATCTGACCTTTGTGGAAAACACAGACAGCTATAGGTTTGTACATCAATCAGTAATGGATGTCGTTTCCATTCAAGTCTGCAAAACGCAGCTCACAACTGGACTCAAATTCTGCACCATCAGTGTTTTACTGGAATATGTAAGAACAACACTGACTCCAGAATCTGATCATATCATATTAATCCCCAGGAATAAGTTTGACATTCTTTCTGAGAGACTCACACAAGAACTATTCACCACAAACCAGGAACTAATCATTACCCACCCAGCCTTTCAGGACCCTGAATTGTGTCAATTTTTGATACATAGTTTCTGGAATGAGGAAGACAAAATGAAAATGCTAAGGTTTCAAAACTGCACAAAAAAAGTCTTCACCAAAATATTCTTCACTGAGCAAACAGTGGAAACCCTTTCTGCTTTGGCTCTAGGCATTGCCATGGTTACAGAGAACAGTGTACATGTTGAAGATGTCTTGGTCCTGGAGTTTACTTCTGTCTTGTGTTTGTTCACACTCAGTGGCTGCAACCTGATAGTGATGGAACTGCTGGCAACTGCAGAGAACTCTGTGTCAGAGGAGGACATGACTCAAACAAGACAAGATGTACTAGCCACTGCTGTATATAAGGGAAATTCAGCATTGATTGAAGAAATGTTACAGAGAAAGACTTGTTTATCAGAAGCCTGCATTATTGCAGCATGTGCCTCTGAAACTGCAGACAACACTGCCTTTGATCACATCCTGGAAACATCTGATGCCCAAATCATGAACATTTTCAATTGGCCACTTGTTGCAATACTGCTGGAAAAGAATAAATGGGAAACTATAGAGAAACTTGCCTATTTTATGTGTAAAACTGACAAAGGTAGGGGACTTCTAATGCAGCTGTGCAAGTGCTTGTTATTGCAGTTTCATAACGTGACACCGCTGTTGTATTTGAGTACTTTTGGAAGCATAAAGAAAGATTCACTTTTAGAGATGATGCCATTCTTGTCCAGTGTTGGTATAAACTGTTCCACCAATGAAATGGTACTGTTGGCAGTAGGATATAGAGAAAGATATCCTCTTTCAATGATTCATGGATATGGTGGAAACCTTGCATGTACAACAAGCAGAGGAGACACACCACTTCACCTTGCAGCTCACATAGGCACAGCAGAGATGGTGGAATATCTGTTACAACACCATGTAGACAAATCTTTTGAGAATGAGGAAGGATGGCTTCCACTCCACTTTGCTGCTCAGTCAGACATAGCAAGTGATGCAAAACTTCATCTCCTCTTTGAACCTGAACATGCGTCCACTGCCACACTGTCAGGAATGACACCCCTGATGTTGGCCTGTAAGGCCGGGAACATATTGTGTGTTGAATACTTTAGACAGAAAGGTTATGGTAATCATGGGGACCATCCGATACATGCTGCTATCCTTGGTGTCTCTGAAGTATGTACAAAGCACAACCTTGGCAATCTTGTATTCATACAAAAATGGTTGAACACCATTGACATTCTCCTAGACATTGGTTATTCCTTCAGCGACAAATCAAAAAATGTACACTCAATTGAGCTTATAATTCAGTTAGAGAGGGAGGATATTGGGAGAGTATTTTTAGAAAGATGGCCATCTCTTCAGGATGAATTGAACAAGAGTAAAGGCACACCACTTCATGTAGCAGTTAAGCATGCCAAACATGAAACTGTTCAGTATCTCATAGAGAAAGGTGCCAATGTTAATGCAGAAGATAACAATCAAGTCACACCACTTCATGTAGCAGTTGAGCATGCCAAACATGAAACTGTTCTGTATCTCATAGAGAAAGGTGCCAATGTTAATGCAGAAAATAACAATCAAGTCACACCACTTCATGTAGCAGTTGAGCATGCCAAGCATGAAACTGTTCACTATCTCATAGAGAAAGGTGCCAGTGTTAAATCAGAAGATAACAATCAAGTCACACCACTTCATGTAGCAGTTGCGCATGCCAAACATGAAACTGTTCTGTATCTCATAGATAAAGGTGCCAATGTTAATGCAGAAGATATCAATCAAGTCACACCACTTCATGTAGCAGTTGAGCATGCCAAACATGAAACTGTTCTGTATCTCATAGAGAAAGGTGCCAATGTTAATGCAGAAGATATCAATCAAGTCACACCACTTCATGTAGCAGTTGAGCATGCCAAACATGAAACTGTTCTGTATCTCATAGAGAAAGGTGCCAATGTTAATGCAGAAAATAAGAATCAAGTCACACCACTTCATGTAGCAGCTGAGCATGCCAAACATGAAACTGTTCTGTATCTCATAGAGAAAGGTGCCAGTGTTAAATCAGAAGATAACAATCAAGTCACACCACTTCATGTAGCAGTTGAGCATGCCAAACATGAAACTGTTCACTATCTTATAGAGAAAGGTGCCAGTGTTACTGCTAGAGGAAGGCTTGGAGTCACACCACTTCATGTAGCAGTTGAACATGCCAAACATGAAACTGTTCTGTATCTCATAGAGAAAGGTGCCAATGTTTATTCAGAAGATAACAATCAAGTCACACAACTTCATGTAGCAGTTGAGCATGCCAAACATGAAACTGTTCAGTATCTTATAGAGAAAGGTGCCAATGTTAATGCAGAAGATAACAATCAAGTCACACCACTCCATGTAGCAGTTGAGCATGCCAAACATGAAACTGTTCAGTATCTCATGGTGAAAGGAGCCAGGGTTAATGCTAGTGAAAGGTCTGGAGTCACACCACTTCATACAGCAGTTGAGCTTGCCAAACATGAAACTGTACAGTATCTCATACAGAAAGGTGCCAGGGTTAATGCAGAAGATAACAATCAAGTCACACCACTCCATGTAGCAGTTGAGCATGCCAAACATGAAACTGTTCAGTATCTCATGGTGAAAGGAGCCAGGGTTAATGCTAGTGAAAGGTCTGGAGTCACACCACTTCATACAGCAGTTAAGCATGCCAAACATGAAACTGTTCAGTATCTCATACAGAAAAGAGCCAGGGTTAATGCAGAAGATAACAATCAAGTCACACCACTCCATGTAGCAGTTGAGCATGCCAACTATGTAACTGTTCAGTATCTCATAGAGAAAGGTGCCAGTGTTACCGCTAGGGGAAGTTTTGGAGTCACACCACTTCATGTAGCAGTTGAGCATGCCAAACATGAAACTGTTCAGTATCTCATAGAGAAAGGTGCCAATGTTAATGCAGAAGATAACAATCTAGTCACACCACTCCATGTAGCAGTTAAGCCTGCCAAGCATGAAATTATTCAGTATCTCATAGAGAAAGGTGCCAGATTTCAATATAATGCAGAAGATAACAATCAAGTCACACCACTTCATGTGGCAGTTAAGCATGCCAAACATGAAACTGTACAGTATCTCATAGAGAAAGGTGCCAATGTTAATGCAGAAGATATCAATCAAGTCACACCACTTCATGTAGCAGTTGTGCATGCCAAACATGAAACTGTTCTGTATCTCATAGAGAAAGGTGCCAATGTTAATGCAGAAGATAACACTCAAGTCACACCACTACATTTTGCAGTTGAGCATGCCCAACATGAAACTGTTCTGTATCTCATAGAGAAAGGTGCCAGGGTTAATGCAGAAGATAACAATCAAGTCACACCACTTCATGTAGCAGTTAAGCATGCCAAACATGAAACTGTTCTGTATCTCATAGAGAAAGGAGCCAGGGTCAATGCTAGTGGACGGTTTGGAGCCACACCACTTCATGCAGCAGTTAAGCTTGCCAAACATGAAACTGCTCAGTATCTCATAGAGAAAGGTGCCAATGTTAATGCAGAAGATAAGAATCAAGTCACACCACTTCATGTAGCTGTTAAGCTTGCCAAACATGAAACTGTTCAGTATCTCATAGAGAAAGGTGCTAATGTTAATGCAGAAGATAACACTCAAGTCACACCACTACATTTTGCAGTTGAGCATGCCCAACATGAAACTGTTCTGTATCTCATAGAGAAAGGTGCTAATGTTAATGCAGAAGATAAGAATCAAGTCACACCACTACATTTTGCAGTTGAGCATGCCCAACATGAAACTGTTCTGTATCTCATAGAGAAAGGTGCTAATGTTAATGCAGAAGATAAGAATCAAGTCACACCACTTCATGTAGCCGTTAAGCTTACCAAACATGAAACTGCTCAGTATCTCATAGAGAAAGGTGCTAATGTTAATGCAGAAGATAAGAATCAAGTCACACCACTTCATGTAGCAGTTGAGCATGCCAAACATGAAACTGTTCAGTATCTCATACAGAAAAGAGCCAGGGTTAATGCAGAAGATAACAATCAAGTCACACCACTTCATGTAGCAGTTAAGCATGCCAAACATGAAACTGTTCAGTATCTCATAGAGAAAGGTGCCAGTCTTACTGCTACAGGAAGGTTTGGAGTCACACCACTTCATTCAGCCGTTGAGCTTGCCAAACTTGAAACTGCTCTGTATCTCATAGAGAAAGGTGCCCGTCTTACTGCTACAGGAAGGTGTGGAGTCACACCACTTCATGTTGCAGTTGTGCATGCCAAACATAAAACTGTACAGTATCTCATAGAGAAAGGTGCCAATGTTAATGCAGAAGATATCAATCAAGTCACACCACTACATTTTGCAGTTGAGCTTGCCAAACATAAAACTGTACAGTATCTCATAGAGAAAGGTGCCAATGTTAATGCAGAAGATATCAATCAAGTCACACCACTACATTTTGCAGTTGAGCTTGCCAAACATAAAACTGCTCAGTATCTCATAGAGAAAGGTGCTAATGTTAATGCAGAAGATAACAATCAAGTCACACCACTACATTTTGCAGTTGAGCATGCCAAACATAAAACTGTACAGTATCTCATAGAGAAAGGTGCCAATGTTAATGCAGAAGATAACAATCAAGTCACACCACTTCATGTAGCAGTTAAGCATGCCAAACATGAATCTGTTCAGTATCTCATAGAGAAAAGAGCCAGGGTTAATGCTAGAGGAATGTTTGGAGTCACACCACTTCATGTAGCAGTTGCGCATGCCAAACATGAAACTGTTCAGTATCTCATACAGAAAAGAGCCAGGGTTAATGCAGAAGATAACAATCAAGTCACACCACTTCATGTAGCAGTTGTGCATGCCAAACATGAAACTGTTCGGTATCTCATAAAGAAAGGTGCCAATGTTAATGCTGAAGATATCAATCAAGTCACACCACTTCATGTAGCAGTTGAGCATGCCAAACATGAAATTGTTCACTATCTCAGACAGAAAGGTGGCAGGGTTAATGTTAGAGGAAAGATTTTAATGTTTGAGGAAGGTTTTTGAGTCATACCACTTCATGTAGCAGTTGAGCATGCCAAACATGAAACTGTTCAGTATCTCATAGAGAAAGGTGCCAATGTTAATGCAGAAGATAACAATCAAGTCACACCACTTCATGTAACAGTTGAGCATGCCAAACATGAAACTGTTCAGTATCTCATAGAGAAAGGTGCCAGTATTAATGCAGAAGATAACAATTAGTGACACCACTTCATGTAGCAGTTGAGCATGCCAAACATGAAACTCTTCAGTATCTCATAGAGAAAGGTGCCAATGTTAATGCAGAAGATAACAATTAGTGACACCACTTCATGTAGCAGTTGAGCATGCCAAACATGAAACTCTTCAGTATCTCATAGAGAAAGGTGCCAATGTTAATGCAGAAGATAACAATCAAGTCACACCACTTCATACAGCAGTTGAGCATGCCAAACATGAAACTGTTCAGTATCTCATAGAGAAAGGTGCCAATGTTAATGCAGAAGATAACAATTAGTGACACCACTTCATGTAGCAGTTGAGCATGCCAAACATGAAACTGTTCTGTATCTCATAGAGAAAGGTGCCAATGTTAATGCAGAAGATAACAATCAAGTCACACCACTTCATGTAGCAGTTGAGAATGCCAAACATGAAACTGTTCAGTATCTCAAAGAGAAAGGTGCCAATGTTAATGCAGAAGATAACAATTAGTGACACCACTTCATGTAGCAGTTGAGCATGCCAAACATGAAACTGTTCAGTATCTCATAGAGAAAGGTGCCAATGTTAATGCAGAAGATAACAATCAAGTCACACCACTTCATGTAGCAGTTGAGCATGCCAAACATGAAACTGTTCAGTATCTAAAAGAGAAAGGTGCCAATGTTAATGCAGAAGATAACAATTAGTGACACCACTTCATGTAGCAGTTGAGCATGCCAAACATCAAACTGTTCTGTATCTCATAGAGAAAGGTGCTAATGTTAATGCAGAAGATAAGAATCAAGTCACACCACTTCATGTAGCCGTTAAGCTTACCAAACATGAAACTGCTCAGTATCTCATAGAGAAAGGTGCTAATGTTAATGCAGAAGATAAGAATCAAGTCACACCACTTCATGTAGCAGTTGAGCATGCCAAACATGAAACTGTTCAGTATCTCATACAGAAAAGAGCCAGGGTTAATGCAGAAGATAACAATCAAGTCACACCACTTCATGTAGCAGTTGTGCATGCCAAACATGAAACTGTTCAGTATCTCATAGAGAAAGGTGCCCGTCTTACTGCTACAGGAAGGTGTGGAGTAACACCACTTCATGTTGCAGTTGTGCATGCCAAACATAAAACTGTACAGTATCTCATAGAGAAAGGTGCCAATGTTAATGCAGAAGATAACAATCAAGTCACACCACTTCATGTGGCAGTTAAGCTTGCCAAACATAAAACTGTACAGTATCTCATAGAGAAAGGTGCCAATGTTAATGCAGAAGATAACAATCAAGTCACACCACTTCATGTGGCAGTTAAGCTTGCCAAACATAAAACTGTACAGTATCTCATAGAGAAAGGTGCCAATGTTAATGCAGAAGATAACAATCAAGTCACACCACTTCATGTGGCAGTTGAGCTTGCCAAACATAAAACTGTACAGTATCTCATAGAGAAAGGTGCCAATGTTAATGCAGAAGATATCAATCAAGTCACACCACTTCAGGTAGCAGTTGAGCATGCCAAACATGAAACTGTTCAGTATCTCATAGAGAAAGGTGCCAATGTTAATGCAGAAGATAACAATCAAGTCACACCACTTCATGTTGCAGTTGTGCATGCCAAACATGAAACTGTTCAGTATCTCATAGAGAAAGGTGCCAATGTTAATGCAGAAGATAACAATTAGTGACACCACTTCATGTAGCAGTTGAGCATGCCAAACATGAAACTGTTCTGTATCTCATAGAGAAAGGTGCCAATGTTAATGCAGAAGATAACAATCAAGTCACACCACTTCATGTAGCAGTTGAGCATGCCAAACATGAAACTGTTCAGTATCTCAAAGAGAAAGGTGCCAATGTTAATGCAGAAGATAACAATTAGTGACACCACTTCATGTAGCAGTTGAGCATGCCAAACATGAAACTGTTCAGTATCTCATAGAGAAAGGTGCCAATGTTAATGCAGAAGATAACAATCAAGTCACACCACTTCATACAGCAGTTGAGCATGCCAAACATGAAACTATACAGTATCTCATAGAGAAAGGTGCCAATGTTAATGCAGAAGATAACAATCAAGTCACACCACTTCATACAGCAGTTGAGCATGCCAAACATGAATCTGTTCAGTATCTCATGGTGAAAGGAGCCAGGGTTAATGCTAGAGGAATGTTTGGAGTCACACCACTTCATGTAGCAGTTAAGCATGCCAAACATGAAACTGTTCGGTATCTCATAGAGAAAAGAGCCAGGGTTAATGCTACAGAATGGTTTGGAGTCACACCACTTTATGAGCAGTTAAGCAACCCAAACATGAAACTGTTCACTATCTCATACAGAAAAGGGCCAATGTTAATGCAGCAGATAACAATCAAGTCACACCACTTCATGTAGCAGTTAAGCATGCCAAACATGAAACTGTTCAGTATCTCATAGAGAAAGGTGCCAGGGTAAATGCTGAAGATAACAATCAAGTCACACCACTTCATGTAGCAGTTGAGCATGCCAAACATGAAACTGTTCAGTATCTCATAGAGAAAGGTGCCAGGGTAAATGCTGAAGATAACAATCAAGTCACACCACTTCATGTAGCAGTTAAGCATGCCAAACATGAAACTGTTCAGTATCTCAAAGAATAAGGTGCCAGGGTTAATGCAGAAGATAACAATCAAGTCACACCACTTCATGTAGCAGTTAAGCATGCCAAACGTGAATCTTTTCAGTATCTTATAGAGAAAGGTGCCAATGTTAATGCTAGAGGAAGGGTTGGAGTCTCACCATACATACAGCAGTTAAGTGTCACTTTGAACACTACCATCAACCAGAACTGTCTTACAGTCAAATGTCTCACTCTTTTTGTCTAGGTATAAAAAAGTTGCTGCATGTAATGCTCTCAATCTGCCCTTTGAACCCATAGCTCTATTACTGATACAATGATATTGTTATAGCTTGGAGACATATATTTGTGTTACATATCCTCAGGCAACAACCCCAATTTCCGATGTGTAATACCTCCGCATCCTTACCGCCCTTCACTTAAAGCTTATCCACATTTTCTTTTGCCCCCAAAACACACGTGTTCCCCTCGCATTTCATCCCCAAAGTAAGGCAATTAATCAGGAAATTATTACAATATGGATTGTCATATCAACAAAATGATAACACCAATTAGGTTATTCAAATATGATGAGTCCTGTGGATATTGGAGGGTAGATACCGGTACTCAAGGGGTGACTTACTGGATCAGGTTATCAGGCTCTATAACAGGTGAAGAGGTTGCGTGTTGTCGTAGCCTGGTGCAATGGGGTGTTGGCCACTGTTTTGTCTGGGTTAGAGTTGATAAGTTAGAAATTACAGGCTGCCAGGATATAGCTGGAACATTCCTGACTGCAGCTACAATATGTATTTGTGTTGTAAATGTTATATTATTCAGATAATAACACAAACTTGATAAGGCCCTAGACTGATATGTTTGCAGTTTAGTTTGAAGCAAATGTAGAACTAAGTCCATATTGCTGTAGTGGAACCTAAGTACTCAAGACCATATCACTCCAAACTTGATTTGGGATAAGATATGCTTCTTTCAAATAAGTAAGGCCTCGTGTTTTTTCACTGGTGATATAACCTAGATTCCACAAAACGCCTATCCTTTCCATTGCCTTGTTTGCTAATTGTTATCAAAATGAGCACATGTTAATCATTCTAATGGTTGGCATCAATGGAATTCAGCCCTTCATACCCATTTTCATAGACATTTTTCAAGAACGGGATTATTGAGAAATGTTTGATTGCTAGATTTGATTTCCAACTGGATACATAACCTTCTTACCAGGAGTAATAGCTGAACTGATATCTTCACAATTACACCATCAATGATTATGAAATTCAGATTGTGTGTTTAGTTACTATCACAGATTCAATCAAGTTTATCTATTTATCATCCAGCATCATTAAAGAAATAAACTTGGTGTTGCTACATACTTTCAGTGGCAAGAGGCTATTAGTACATACACATTCAAGTGGTGTACAGTTTTGCAAGAATATTTGCATTAATTACATAATACAATTAATGTGTGTATAATACACATATACCATATACATAGTCATTTTCATTTTGAGTCTATTGTACTATGCAATACAACTTTTATCATAGATCTTTATCCCTGATGCTGTGAAAAGAGATGACAATGTTTACATCATGAATTTTTTAGCTATGTATTTTCCCACTGAGATGTCCTTGAAAGTTGTTTTATAGTTATTAATTTTCGGTTTGGTTCTTTAATACTGCATAGATGTGCCTGCGTGCCTGCATACGTGTTTTATGTAGATTTATGAAATTGATACTGTAAGTAGTTTCTTTCATGATTTTGATACATGGAAAAACAAGTGCCTGAAATCAAGCTTTGTGCTTTTAATGTCAAATTCTATTTCAAGTTCATCAAAGGGCATAAAACCTGTAACAATACAATGTCTTCAATTGTAAATATGCTTTTATTAACCCAATTTCTTAGGAGAGTGAGTGAGTGAGTTGGGTTTAACGCCGCTTTTAACAGTATTCCAGTTATATCAAGGCGTGTCAGCTTAATGTGGGAGGAAAGCCCGAAGTGATACAGGTCTCAGACGTTACCACTTCGGTGAAACCCATGAGCACGGGTATGGTGCTGACAAACCTAGGAACATAATCGGGGCGAACCGGGATTCGAACCCACAATCATAGGTTTCTGGCGTGCCCAAGGGACGCAACTCTGCACAGCGAATCGCGGCGCCTTAGACGACTGGGCCACCTGTACCCCCTCTTAGGAGATATTATGTATGTTTTAAAAAGTGAATAAGCCATAAATGATGAGATGTATTTTTTTCCTTATTATCTGATTATTATCTTTAACAAAGGGCATTCCAGGCTTTAGTACATGCTTCAGGTGTGGGGTTTTCAAGTCTGGCAATCTTGTTTATGTTTGCACCTAAGTTGTATATATCCCTAATTGGAATATTAGACGGATTATTGGTCCCAGTTTTCGTAACATATAACCTAACAATGTAGTTTCTAAGCGAATCAATAAATGATTTCTGATCAATCATGCAAGTCCACCTTCTACATACTTTCTGATTAAAGTGGTTATTTTAATCTTATCTATTTAACATTCCAAATACATTTGTACAATATAGTGTTTAACGATACGATAAAATCATTTTAGGGGGGTGGGCAATGAAGAGACTATATATACAAGTTTTGATAAAGCAAATGTTTTAATTCTTGTTTCCTGTCATCAAATTACAGTCCCAATTGATGTTTATGTTTTCTATCACAATTCCTTTTATTTTTTATTTTTTTTGGATAAAACATCCCAGAATGTTATTGTGCCACCAGGAAAAAAATGGATGTAGTCACAGTGGATCATCATCCTGTCTACAGCCCCTTTCATTAGTAAAGAAATGTGATAGATGTCCATGTTGATCCATGAAATATAATAAGTTGATATGTTTATCAATTTTACAATTTCTCGACCCAAACCAAATTTCAGCAAGCCTCGTTGATAAACTGCTTTGAGGCTGTAAAAAGACTTTTAAACATCTAATAGGAGTAATCTTCTAGGTTCAAACAAGTAGGCCCTAGTAGCCTTGTATTTTCACCGATACATCTGCCAGCAATATATACATTTGTGTTGGATGACAAGACATTCCAAGATTGTTTAAATACAGTTTGATATACATGTGCTAATAATTTTATATAATGCTTTTAAGAGGGTCATTGTCTCCTGTATTTTTAGAGTTTTCTATTTCTATTAGTTATAGGTATTTATGTGATAACACCTCTTTTTATTGTTTTCTAATACACAACATTAATCAGATTATTTTTACAAAAAATTATACATGTGAAATGTTGTAGAATGATAAAGTATTCCTCAGAAAATAACCTTTGTATCCCACTTAATGACTTATGCAATGATCCAAATCAATATCTCAGGTGAAAAATTCTAAACATCTGAATTGGCTTGATTGTATTTACGTTGAAGCCCCATATCAGACACTAGAGACCACCCTCAAAGATGAAGGTGTGATCAATCTCTGGTGGAGTGTCTTGGAATCTCTGTATGATCTTCTTATACTGCAAGGCAGGCAGTGAAACAAGGAAAACTAATCACCTGGGTCCACTTGCACAAAGCGATCTTAGCGCTAAGACTATTGTAAGCCTATGTTAAAGTATGGGAGTTACGATCATCTTAGCGCTAAGATCGCTTTGTGCAAGTTGGCCCTGGTCTTCATCCCATTACAAATTAAACAATTTTGGGCCCTGATATGTTGACCCTAAAATATGTACATGCAAATTCCCCACATTATTACGAACTACGCCTGTGGTGTGCACCACCAATGATATATGAAAACTTTTTCCTTGAAAAGTCATCCGTATATACGTGAAAATCATGATTAGGTGATTAGCATCAGTCATGACGCAGCCTCACATATTTGAAACGGGGAATGTGTTTGGTCAAGGGGGTTGTCTCAAAACAGTCAGTCCGATTACAGACAGTGAAGCTGGTATACAAATCTATGTTGGGGTTTCTGTGGTTTTCGGTGGTTGTCAAAGATTGGATCATATAGGCTCAAGAATTATTTCCTTCCGACAAAGATATTTAGTCGCCTTTGCACAGGAAAGATGTTTTACTGAGGAATACAATATTGTCTTTTACAGAAGATAATTCTGCAGCAGTACACATTTCTTGGCTTGTCGAGTGAATACCTCTTCTTGTTCATTATCATTGTTGTTGTCGAGTGAATACCTCTTTTTGTTCATTATCATTGTTGTTGTTGTTGTTGTTGTTGTTGTTACCAGATTCACACGATTCCTTGGTTTCAGGTAAACTTTATATCTTCTATGTAACAGATGTGTGTTTCAACCATTAAATGTACTTTGTCTTCTTTATCTAACATGGAGTAAACCAGTCATGTTTGATTAAGCTCTTGTGTTTTGATTTCAATAATGTTACATTGGTGGCAGCAGTGGGTTTAAAGTTTTCACAACTGATAAATGAAACGATGGAGGCAAATAATGGGGACAGTGTACGAGGAGTGAGTGAGTATGGTTTTACAGCTTTAGCAGTATTCTAGCAATACCACGGCGGGGGACGCCAGAAA